CCACCAAGACTGATCACCCCGCCCCACTCCAACATCCCATCAAAACCGCTGTTGGGCAGATTGCATTTAGTTGTTTTGAAAGCGAGATGAGTGACTTGTTCTAGTATCCATTTTCCTATATTTCGTTTCGGAAAAGCCCCCTGACAGAACCACTTAGGTTGATGAATTGTAAGAGTATTGACAAGTTGTATAACGTGGTTCATCAGTCAGCCGGCCGGACCAGTCAGCCGGACGTTTTTTCTAAACACACTTATGTCCAAACCACTTAAACCTTTGACGCGTAAAATCTCAACAACCATAATGCCAATCTACACCCAGGAAGACAAAGTCATTCTCGCAATTGAAGCGATCCGATCGACGCGCGCTGCAGGTGGTAACTTGAGCATTTCGCGTGCCGCAAAGACCTACAGTATCCCGAAGAGCACCTTAGCCGATAGAATGAACAACCGACCGCGACGCGAACAAGCTCAACCCCAACGACGTAAACTCGATCCGATCGAAGAGAAAACACTTCTCCAATACGTTATTGAACAGGATTCCAGAGGATTTCCTTTGCGCCTTAGCGGTGTGGAAGATATGGCCAATCTCCTGCTGCGAGCCCGTAATGGCAAGCCTGTTGGCAAGCGATGGGCCAGGCGGTTTGTGGACTCGCAGCCTGCTCTGAAAACCAAGTTTAATCGTCCATACGATTATCAAAGGGCTCTTCAAGAAGATCCTCAGGTTATATCAAAGTGGTTTGCGCTATTACGCAACATGATGGCCAAGTATGGCATCCAAGAGGGGGACCTATACAATTTTGACGAAACTGGCTTCATGATGGGCATGATCACCGCGTCAATGGTGGTAACACGCGCCGATCGACGCGGCAAAGCAAAGTCTGTCCAGCCTGGCAATCGTGAATGGGCTACAGTCATTGAATGTATCAATTCGGGCGGGTGGTGCATCCCTCCGTTCGTGATCATCAAGGGCGCATATCACCTTGCCAGTTGGACCACGGAATCAGGTTTTCCGGGCAACTGGGTCATCAAACCCACGGCTAATGGATGGACGGATAATCAGACGGGTCTTGACTGGATTAAACACTTCGACAAACATACTAAGAACCAAACGAAGGGCGTCTACCGGATGCTCATTGTCGACGGCCATGAGAGCCATTTATCGGCCGAATTCGACGATTACTGCAAGCAGAACAATATTATAACGGCCAGTATGCCTGCACATTCATCGCATCTACTACAGCCATTGGATATTGCCCTTTATTCGCCTTTGAAACGCGCATACGGTGATGAAATCAACCTATTCATCAGAGCCTCCATAAATCACATCACCAAGTCTGAGTTCTTTATTGCCTTCCACCAGGCCCATAATAAGGTTTTTAATGAGGAAAACATCAGGTCTGCTTTCCAAGGCGCTGGAATTTCACCATGGGACCCAGAGCATGTCATCAAAAAGCTTGATGTGCATTTACGGACGCCTACACCTCCTATAGCCAACCCTTCAACACCACGACCTTGGCAGTCGCAAACGCCCTCTAACCCACAACAAACCGTCTCGCAGTCCAACTTTATCAAAAGTCGCATCTCTGCTCATCAGGGAAGCTCACCGACACCAATTATTGCTGCAGTTGAGCAATTGTCAAAGGGTGCGCAGGCAATGGCGCACTCAATCACTATTTTGACTGATCGGCTTCGTACCCTTGAGGATGCGAATGTAGCACTTGCTAAGCGTCGGAGGGCCAAAAGGTCACGTGTGCAGCTTGGAGGGGCACTTAGTATAGAGGAATCTCAGGATTTGCTGGAAGAGAAACAAAAAGGTAAACGTCCAGCGCCTCAAGAGGACGACGAGGGGGGTCCATCAAAGAGAGCCCAGCCAGCTCGGAGACGCTGTGGTATGTGTGGTGAGACTGGGCATAACGCGCGAACCTGTTCCAAAGATGTCGAACCCTCAGGAGATTCTGATAGCGACAACTAATAGTTGATTTAATGCGTTGTGGTTGAGAAATACTAGATGTTGTTTTGTACGTGGGAAAAAACGTCCGGCTGACTGGTCCGGCCGGCTGACTGATGAACCACGTTATACAACTTGTCAATACTCTTACAATTCATCAACCTAAGTGGTTCTGTCAGGGGGCTTTTCCGAAACGAAATATAGGAAAATGGATACTAGAACAAGTCACTCATCTCGCTTTCAAAACAACTAAATGCAATCTGCCCAACAGCGGTTTTGATGGGATGTTGGAGTGGGGCGGGGTGATCAGTCTTGGTGGCTCCTTTCAAAGCTCGGTCGGCATAAGGAGATGATGTAACGCAGACCGATCGAAAGAGGATATAGAGGGAAAGACCCCAATCAGACGTAAGCTGAGGCGCAAGCGCACTTTTCACTTCAATTAGACACATATTTTGGGATGGAACCAGAGCGTTTCTTATGATTTACGTTCGAACGTGATAGTACAAGACTATTGGGAGGTTCACCCTTTCGATCAGACTCCGTAAGACAGAATCCTACTTTGACCAATATTCACAGAATCATGATACCAAACAGATGTATGCTTTAGGCACTATAGCCTCGCCCCTCAGCATGATTGCTCTTGTAGGGAGCATGGGCAACCACAATATCTCCAGTGCTACGATCAATATCGTACCATCCATTGAGAGCTTGTTGTTGACAGTTCTTCCACCACTGAGGTCCGTTTAGTCCGTTAGGGCCCACGGAAACGCACTGCATAATCGTTAGTCGTTCGGATATTTCATATACATGCAGTCCAATCTTACCCTGCCCGATCCCATGTCGTAGTTAGCCTGCGCAGGTTAGTAACGGTATATATACGGACACGCGGTTCGGTTTTCTACTAATACTTACTTCAGACGCATAGTTATTCTTACAGGTTTGCTCGGTGAGCTGCCAGTCATATTTGAGGCCACGGTTCTGGTCCACATATTTCCCATTAACTGTGACATCGGCGACGTAGCAGTCAGTGGCGATCCAGTAGTTATCATCGATGGCTTGCACGCAAGGAACAGCGGCGAGCAGCGCAAAGCAGAGTGACTTGGGAACAAGCATTTTGAAAGCGCTGGTTTTTTATGTATGTAATTGAAAGAAGATGGTGCGTTGATTTGGTGGGCTTGGCTTGTGAGTCTACAGAGAAGATAACTGACAGTTGGGACTCGAGGTTCAGGGTACTTATATGTGCCTCTTTGGAGTCTCTGCCAAACCATCCTGATCACCAGACCTTTTGCTGGCTTATTATAATAAGTTCAGGAAAGAAAGTTTCGTATATTGACGCTTGACCGACGGTAATTATCGACGGAAATTACCGACCGTCTTGAGTTCGCCAACAATGTCTAACTCGATAATAGGCTTAAGTTTGCGGGCGCACTAGATATTGCGGATAATATGACACAGATTATCACGGTCAGGCAAACTGACTGTCATCTCAATTGCGATTCATTACTCTAGCTTATTGCCGTATTTTATAGGTCAAGAACTCGGCGGGACGACGAAGTGTAAGTGGGGCACACCAACTCGCCCAAGCAGCAATACAAGCGGTTTCTACCTACATTAAGCGTCGATATAATAAGTATATCAGAGGCCCCGACTTAAAGGTCCGTTATATCCTTCCTATTCCTTCGTCTTTCATCCACATCTTACCTCACATAACCATTACGCTTCTCAAGACACTATGATACTCATTCGCTCCCTTTTATGGTTCCCGGTATATATGGTGTTACTGGTTCACAGTATGCCAATCGAGGAACTTTTCCGGCGTGGGCAATGCTTCAGCTCCGTTGGCCCGAGACCTGCTCCTGCAGGGCTTCCGGCAATTGAAATCAACATTACAGGCATCGTCAACCAAGTGCGGGATATCCAGGATCTACCGTGGACCGACGGACGCGGCGCACCCGGCCATCGGTGGCGCTGGCGAGCTGCTGGCACCTCTCAGGGACTTCCTATCCTACAAGTCCAGTTGTATGGTTACATTGGAGCTCACGTGGAGCTTCATGCCACGGCTCTTCGTGACGGTAACCGGCCTGCAATTCTGGTGACCCCTAACGGGAATATCAACGGTGGTGCTGCGCAGGGCTGGGGCGAGCCTCTCTGCCTCTCCTTGCTCACGAACTTTGACCGAAACGACATCACCTATGTGCTTCATATTGTACTTGGTAAGTCTTTTGCAGAGTTTCTATGTATGCCGTTCATATAATAACAGACTTAGGCAATATGTATCCGGATGTAAGGGTTTTGTGATAACTAGACGCCAAGCTGCCGCCGAGCTAGAAGATGTTGCCTTGCAACGCTACCCTTGGTCAAAGAAGAAGTCTTATGACTAGGTGTAACGAAAATTGATGAGTCGCCGACTTGTAGATCGTATCGATGGGTCATGGAGTGCTAATGGGCCCCCTTCTATTTGTACCTGCTGCATGCGTGGCTAGTGAGGCTTTGTCGTTATTATCGTGGTATTTGGCGTATTGGCGGGAGCGACTGTGTGGGCGATAGCTGTATTGTCGTAGGACCTTACTATTGAAACTGTATTAGGCTGGTATTTTACGAGCATGCGACGAAGTCGCAGCCTGTAGGGCATATATAGAGACTCTCTCCTAGTCGGCTGTGTTGGTAATTGTTATCGTTAGTAACGTGGATCTGGTTGACTGTATCGTTGACCGATCCCGTGAAATGCTGAGTGTTCATAGTTCGAGTGACTGTTGCCCGTCCGCCTTAAATGCTAGTGACTACAACGCCGTTTGCTGCTAAAGCAGCTCGAGTGCTGGTGGCTTCAATGACAGTTGCCTCTAGGGCACCCTGGATATTGACAGTATTCCTGACTGTTTGCAAGTCGTTCTGACTAGCGGTAACGGTGTTGCCTATTTTTGTCACTGCAGCGCGTGCTTGGCCAGCAGCTTTACCTTGGACTTGTTCTCGATCAATCCGATAGCAGATGCCTTCAAACACTAAAATTCATTTGCGCTTCGAGGGAAGTTAGTAGGCTTTGGTTCGAAATGTCCTATCTATTCAGGGTTGTATACGAGGATAGACCGGATGGGCAAGATTGGATTCCTTCCTATAGTATTTCGATTGTAGGCGTGTAACTGGTGCATCTCGGCTTCTGGGTGGTCGATCTTCGTTTCTCCTACAACGTCGGTAAGGGGAGCCGCTGTCCGTATAGCTAGTAAGGTTAAGATGTAAGATAGTCTGATTGATCGGTGTAGCATATTTGTTCTCAAGGTATCTTGATATTCAAGATTTACGTAACTTCACGTTGAATTTGCGACCAGAGGCGATAGCGGCTGCGATCGGCTGACAATCATCCTTTTGAAGTGTCGCTAGGAACAGTCAGTATCTCTCTGACCCCGCTTTCGGCAATAAGGTCATCCAGTTCGAAATACCTTCCAAATGATGGATAGTCTTGAGTCTTGGCGCGATTAACAAGCGACCCTTCGTCGTCGTGGCTTCTCGATAACTTCTCGGCAAGTACTAGTTTGCCGCCTTCGAACAGCAGCATCGGAGATATGATTGGCTGTTGCGCATAATGTCGTGCAATCTCCCGAGGACGACGTCAACCAGATGGTCGTGCAACATGGGCAGTGTCTGCACATACAAAATCAACCATTCGAAGGCGCTTCGGATGTCGCTACACTTACCTAAGGTCACGTGCCTTGACGAGAAGGGACAAAAGTAGGCGGGCCCAGAAGCGTCAGCTTCGGTCGATGTACCTGGGGCTTGGTAGCACTCGGCGCTGCCCTACCCACACGATGTTCCCCGTTACGCACTGGAAGGGGTCTCCTCTTGGGGCCGCCACCCCTCGGGCCAGGACCTGAGGGCAGTGGGGTGTGGACTGGTGCCTCTTCTAACCGCCGGCCGGCAGCCGTACCCGTTCCCCGTGGAGGCCGTGGAGATGCATCCTGACAGAACCTGGGATTCTCTCGCTTAGGTGAAACTCACCGCATACAGTCATTACTCAGTTCATCGCATAGTCGGGCCAGGATTACCCTACAAGGAATAGATGCCACTCGTTTATATAGACTTACCGCAGGCCCAGAAGATCACTCCAAGCACTATCTCGGGTGCTGATGGACAGCACTTTCGCCAAGACCATGAAATACCCACTATGTATCCACTATTACCCCGCATTTAAAGGGGTACTTGACGATACGTCAATCATCCCTATGCTCTTTTGCCTATTGTCAGGCCCATCCCAGTACACTCGTTACAACGATTGTCACACTATGCCTATGAAACAATATGGTCTTACACAAGCATGACTAAGTTTGCCAAGGATATGCCAGTATAAAGAGTCTTCCACTCACTATATAGATAGTCGGGATATTCCCATAGCCACTCATTCTTCATACTCATCAATACATCCCATTGACCCCCTACCTGATAATCGCTGCCCAACACCTATTATTATCACTATTATTACCATTTTGATTGATACTGTGATGTCTTCTGGTGAATCTGATACCTCTATTGCATCTAATGTTTCTATTACTTCTATACGCAGCTGTATAGTAGTTGAGGTCCACCCAGAAGACCTTACAGCTGCCTGTAATACAGACTGTACGCCCGAGCGCTGTGACGCAGCTACAGTCCAGCCCCACGAACCTCCGGCAACTCAGCATGGTCCTCTGGGCTCCTTCCGACCCTTCAACGTGCCGGCCCGGGCCCAAGAGATACGGGGGCTGCCGGCAAGCCCGCTTGAACTGTTCCTCCAATACGTTCCGCAGAGCCTCGTAGAGCAGTGAGCCCAGTGGACGAATACAGCACCGTTGTCTAGGGAGGGCCCTAGGGCTAGACGGGCTACAGACAAAAGGAATACCTCTATTCCATGGGAACAGCATAGGAAGGGATCAAGAAAGGTATCTTAATCTTGTACCTATTGTGGTAATAGGAAGGCTTTAAAGGGGATATCTGGGAATGCCATCGCTCTGCAACGACGGCAGACAACTCGAAAGGGCTGCTTAGATTGTAATGTACCGTTATGTATTAGCAAAGATTGCTGGTACCTCTGGCATTCCCAAAATTTATAGGAAATAGAGGTACTGCAGCCCTATTGGTTAACTTAATAGATTTGCAAGCCCTTATTGGCTCTACCCCGCCCTTGGCGAAAGTGCTGTCCATCAGCACCCGATGGGATAACCATACTAATCCCCATTCATTATGCCACTGCTGACCATATTGAAGATTTCTTACGATGGATGTAATTAGCTATCGAGGAAATGGGAAATAAGTCAGCACGTCAGATGCACTGAGCCAATGGCATGGCGGAATTCCGACGTCGACGAACGGCAATCTACTGACTGGGGAACGGTAGATAAGCCGCCTGTTGGAAAACCTTCCGTAAGAAGGATATTACGATTCTAGACGTAGCTGGCGTGAGATCCGTAAATGGGCGACCCTGTGTCTCAAGTGATGACGGAGGCATACACATTTGCGAAACGCCGGTAATGTTTCTTCTATATATATGGCCACTTCAGCTAAGGAGGGAAAAGGAAAGGAAAGGAAAAAACGTGGTTCTATCGGGATTCGAATTCAGATCCTCTGTGCTATCAGAGGGCTGCTTCAGCTCTTAAGTTGCGAGATCTTGCGATGTGAAGCACGGTCCCTGATGTAGTTATATCAAAAGGCTCGAGTTAAGGAGCACGCTGTAAGTTGTCACTGATACTGCAAGACAACACTTGAAGGCAATTTGTCGTGAAACTGAAGCAATAGGGACGATAAGTACAATATATCAGGCGATTTTTATATGGAATGTTCAGCTAGACCTTGCTACACAAGACCAGATAGCCTACTTTCTTCCGCAGAAGCTCCCCCGCTTAGGCCGCTTGGTCAGGCTTGCTCCGTCGTCGCTGTCGTCGAGCACCTCTATCTCTCCGGACCGCTTCGAGCCACTAGGTGGGGCTTCATGAAGACCGTTGACTACAATCAGATCATCATCACCAATAGTGGTGCCTAAAGTCCATGACGTTAGCGGTCTCAGCCTAGACTATGAGGAGATCAAGCCGTCACTCACTTGACTTGGACGGGGTAGCTGGCCTCTTCGTGTCAGCCGTCTTTTGGTCAAGGGGGTCAAAGATGAACCTCCCCCTGCCACGGCTGGGGGTCTCTGGCTTGTATAGTGTGGCGAGCAGATTGTGGGTTCCCTGGTGCTGCGTTGGCTCACCAGCAGCCCAGTCAATCTTCAGAATCTCTACGAGAGGCACAAACTCGACAGGGTTATAGGGGCAGCTTTCCGAAAAGATAGCGCTCTTATTACACAAGCCATAGAAGTAACTAGTGACGTAGGCCTTTTTCCCGTGCTTTCGAAACGGCGTTGTGTCGGCGCGGTAGTCTTCACACTTCTTTTCCATGTGTGGCTTGCATTTGGGAAGCATGGCGTATACGTAGTTGGCATGCCATCCTGTCTTCGGGGTACGAGCGGCCTCTGTGACAGTAAACTTCGACCAGACCCTGAAGACAGCTGACGAATTCCTGGTTATATCGTCTAGACCGATAAAAGGATTGTCGGCAAGGGGGAACTTCTGGGCGTCGACGAACCCGTTGAAGGTCACAAACGGCGGCGTGATCGGAAATCGAGGGGGCAGGTCGACATAGGTACGGTCAGAAATAGTAAGGAGTAGCCTAAGAGCAGTCGCTCCATCACTGGGGACCGGAAAACCTACGGCGTAAGGGCGTCATCTTGAATCCATGCCAGGCGCTCATAGCCTACTTTATCTTCGCTAGACAGACCACAGGGTATATAGCTGAAGTGGAATTCGCAGACAATGCTAAACCACTGATCCTCTTAGTCGTCGGTGGTCAATGAGCCCCCTAAGTGGAAGCGACAGAGGTCCAGAGATAGGGCGTCGTCGTGGAGGGTGACGAGGACACCAGGGAACGTATCGATCAACTATTGCGGTGTGTGAATCGGAATTTGGATTTGGGCCGTCCAGTTTCGATAGCGGAAGACTTGGGAGTCTCTGTTGAGAAGTTCAACAGCAGCGCACATACCCATTCAAATCAATCAAACAAATAAGTCAAACAAACAGTCAAATATAGGAATTTCAGCGAGTCAAACAATCAAATATCGTGAGGCCCTATATTTGATATATTTGATCAAATATGAGGTCGCCCGGAAAAAGGAATATCCGGGGCCGGGCCAATCAAAAATCGACGCTGCTAATCACGCCCCACAGAAGCTCGTCATTGGCATCATGAATACCCATAGCGGGATTCCAACCCACGACTCCTCACTTACGATTGTAAGTTCGGTATTATACCACTTAACTATATGGATTGCTAGTATTTGTTACGTTAACAAGAAATGCCTGAGTAGTATAGAGCGCTGGATTTGGCATCCTACAATGTCCAGGAATCAAAAAAACCTCCGCTAGTCAACTGGTGCCCCCTTTTCTCAACATCAACAAAACCAATGAAGTTACGCACTACCACTTCCAACCCTTTGCGACCACCACAATTATCGTCAAAATCAATTAAATTATATATCAATCGATTCGCCATATCGTAATTAATTGATTGGCAATGAGTCGCACGGTCTTTGGCGCGCCGCAGCCACTTCGGATTACCTCGCAGCTACAGGCCCCAACCGACGCCAGTCTCGCATCATCGACCGACCTCGACACTCGCGACAACCTCCTCGCCCTTCCAAAAGCCTTCTGGAAAGGGAGGACTTTCTTTAACGACGATTTGATATCACAGAAGGGCGCAAGGCCAAGGAAGTCGTGGATCCGCTTAGAGGGGGTCTTCGCTCGAGAGATCTACGATGGAAACATTCGAGGCGAAGTCTTCTGGTTTTGTCGTCGCTACGACCAAATAGGCATTATTACCTACTTCAAAGCGATAGCTACGAGCTCAGCAACGACTCACTTAAGGTCAAAACACCGAGTAATGGATCCAAGCTCCAGCGAGTCACCACATCCATCAGAATCAACTTCCCTCTCGCCTAATTTTTCTTGGCATCTACTGTTAGTGTAATAAGTGGGCTACCACCAAAATCCTTAACAGCTGAAAACCCTTCATCTCTCCTCCGGCGCCCTCCCGCGATGGCCTCGCAGCCTCCGGCGGGCTCTGGACCGTTGCCGACCTCCTCGGCCGGCCTTGATCGAGGCTCTGGACCCTCTTCAGAGCCGCCCCCATCCTCAAGGGCTAAACGCCGCCGCGAAACCGAGGCCCAGCCACTCCGGCCCAGCCTCGTGGGAAGCCAGCCCGACGCCCCAACAACAACCCCCTTAACGGCTAAGGGGCCCTCGACTATGACTGGGACAGCTACTGGAGCTGTCCTTACAGCTCTTAATGAAGAGGCTAAGCACTACGAAGCCCGAAAGGACGTCTTTATGGCTATTGCTCAGTCTGTGGACAACGTGATCTCTTGCTTTGAGGGGCCTAGGAAGCAGATTGCAAAAGAAGCTACAACCTATGTAATCCAAGCCTTGAAGAGGATTATGGGTAACGAGACTACGGCTCCGGCCCCGAGCCGGAAATGGACTGACGTAGCAGCCTCGGCTTCGACTACAGCCGTGGCCGTAGCCCCGACCCGTACCCGAATCCCCACCCGGCCCGAAGTCCAGACACAGAGTCTGACGGAGACCCGGGCCCAGGCTCTATCCCAACCGAAGGAGGACCTCCGGGTCTTTACCCGTATCCCGGAAGAGGGCCTAGCGGCTGCTAGGAAGCACGCCCCCTTCGCCCTACGCCGGACAGTCTGCCAGGCCCTTAGGCTCCAGCTGGCAGATATCCCACACATCTACCATATTGCAACTGGCTACTCACTGAGACCCCTGAATAAGCAGGTCCAGCAAGCCCTCCTTGCAAACAAACAGAAACTAGCAGAGTGTCTCGGAGCCTATAAGGTTGAGACCCCTACTAAGTGGTTTACCTACGTCGTCCCACGTTGCCCTGCTAAGATGTGGACTCTTGATGGCGACGCCCTTGACCCAGCTACTCTGGTAGAAGATGAGGTCCTTGCCCAAACAGGACGTAAGCCTACCCGGGCCCAGCAGTCCCGGCTAGGTGTAAACCCTATTATAAACGAAGTCTCCTGGGTCATCTCCTTCGCTGTGGAAGTACCACCCTTCAGACTGTTTAACCAAAGCAGCAGGTCTCAGCTTATCCAAAAGAAGAAGACCCTAATCAGACATGATCCTGGATGCCAGGGATATCATTCGAACCGATACTGTCACCGACAGCCACTCTGTAGCAACTGTAGCAGGCCCTCGGGATCCCACGAGACTGGGCCCTGCATAGCTAGACCGAAGTGCGCCAACTGCTCCGGCCCCTTCCAAGCTAACCATAAGGACTGTCCAGCAAGGCCCCTAGTGGTTAACGGCTCCCCTACCCTCCCAGACCGGAAGGAACTCTCCCGGATCCGTAAGGCTGGTCAGAAGGCCTATGAGGCCCTCTATCAGAGCAGCCAGGCTGGCACCCAAGCCAGCAACACCCAGCAACCTAGCAACAGCCTAACGAGCCATCAGCCCGGCTCAAAGCGCCCACGCGCCCCTACCCCTACCCAGGACTCAATTGTTGTAGCGGACGTTAGTGATGCGGCTAGCTGTAGCAGCATGGATGAAGATGAGAATGGGGCTGAAGCAGAAGGGCTGCAAGCCCCTGACGACCCAGTCCTACCCCCCTACCCAGCCAACCTACCCTAGCTACCTCAAGCAGCAGGGCTCAGCGGGTGGCGCAGAAGCCTGATTACAACGTTATTAATGCCTACACCCACCTCGACCTCGACTCAGAGCAGTAGGCTCAGGCCAGCCTCCCCACGGGCACTACGAGTCGCCCAGTGTAACGTGGGGAAGAGAAGCCCAGCTCATACAGCTCTCCTAGAGCTCTGCTGGGCGGATCAGATCGATATAATACTGATCTAGGAGCCCTGGATAGGCTATAGAGATAAGATGCAAATCAACACACACCCAGGCTATAACTCTTATATCCCAGTTGACTTCTGGAACAACAGAGATACAAGACCTAGGGTTATGACCTATATACGCAAGAGTCTAAGACTACAAATACGGCAACAAAGGCCTACCCAAACGAGAGATATCTTATGGGTTAAGGCTGGCAACTTCACTATTATCAACGTATATAGGCCGCCAGGTGAGCCGACAAACCACACGACTACTGCTCTCCTAGGATACTATCCGCCAGAAAGAGCCCTTATAGCAGGGGACTTTAACGCCCGCCACCCTACCTGGGAACCAGGCTCCCCTAGCCGGGATCGGGGGGACGATATTGCAGAGTGGGCTGAAGACTACGATCTTTCGTTTATTGGGGAGGTTGGGGTCCCTACCCATACTCATAGGCATACCCTCGACCTAACATTCTCAAATATCCCCTTTGCTGAGGCTTATATTAGCCCACACCTGCACCCAGGGGCTGACCACCAAGCTATCACAACAACTATCCCTATAGGCAAGGCCCAGGAACAGAAACGCCAGACTGGCCACCTCTCAGTCCCAGAGTCAGCCCTACCCCGACTTATCGACCTAGTAAGAGCTGGATCCTCAGCCTTACCTACCCTAGGGGAAGTACCTAGTCCAGCAGAGCTGGACACTCTAGCTACCCAACTAGTCAGCCTCTTCTATACAGCTATTCAAGCTGTAGGTAAGAGACGGACAAATCAGGGTAGGGGAGCCCCCTGGTGGACAGAAGAGTGTGCAGAAGCCCACCGAGCTGCTATCGAGGCTAGGCGCCAGCAGGCCCAGGAACCTGGGCTAGTTATACCTCCCCCCATCCTAGAGGAGCAAAAGATCTTCTTAACAACTGTTAGAAGGGCAAAACGCGCTTACTGGACTACTAAGATCGAAGGGGCTAAGACAGACCAAGACCTATATAAGATAGTAGGCTGGCGGAAGGCTGGCTTAGCTGTTAAAGGCCCGCCTCTTATAGTGGAAGGTCAGACAATCGACAACAGCTACGATAAAGCCCAGGCCCTACGAAAGGCCTTACTAGAGAGATTTAACGCTACAGACGACTTACCTGGAGACCCTTTCGCTATCCCAGTAGTTGCACGGCGTCTAATGCCCTGGCAGGATGTGGTCAGCATGGAAGAAGTACGCCAGGCTACTCTAACAAAGACTACAACCCCTGGGATTGACGGGAGTACTACAAATTTACTACAGCAGACCTGGGAATCAGTAGCTAGGCCTATACAGCAGCTCTTCCAGGCCTGTATTCAAGTAGGCCACTTCCCCAGACCGTTCCGCAAAGCAGAAGTTGTCATGATCCAGAAGCCAGGGAAAACAGACTTCTCGAAGACTGGGTCTTGGCGACCGATATCCCTTTTATCCTGCTTGGGTAAAGGCCTGAGCGGCTAATAGCAAAAAGGATGGTCTACCTTACTATCCTAGAAGGGGTTGCTAGCCCGCAGCAGGTTGGAGCACTACCAGGGAGGGCTGCAGTCGACCTAACAGCCTGTCTGACCCACGAGATCGAGAAGGCTCTAGACTTAGGGCTCACTGCAACTCTTGTAACAATGGACGTTAAAGGGGCTTTTGACTCTGTCCTAAGAAACCGACTTGTTATCAGGCTACGAAAGCAGGGCTGGCCTAAGCATCTGATTAGGCTGATCTTCACCTTTACCTCTAGCCGAGCAGCCCGGGTCAGGCTAGAGGATACAACTACAGAGGATTTCCCTCTATCCTGTGGGCTACCACAAGGCTCCCCACTATCTCCTATTCTCTTTCTATTATATATAGCTGATATCCTAGCCGACGATCAGAAGCTACGGTTCGGCTATGCGGATGATATAGGTTTAGTAACTACTAGCCCATCGCTAAAAGAAAATGCTATAGCTCTAGGCCAAGAGATCACTCATATACTTAACTGGGGCACTGATAACAAGGTTGCTTTTGACCCAGCTAAGTGTGAGGCAGTCCACTTCAGCAGGAAACATAACCAGACAAAAGACCTACCAGATATACAAGCGAGGGGCCTAACTATCAAGGCCTCAGCTAGGCTTGTACGATGGCTAGGAGTCTGGTTTGACAAGACTCACCTTCCGTCACCATGTCGAAACTAAGGTGGCAGCAGCAAGGAAGGTAGCCCAGTTCCTTCGGCACCTAACAAATACCAAAGGGGGGCTCCCAGCAGCCGCAGTACGAAAAGCGGTTATTGCCTGTGTCCTTCCAACAGCCTTGTATGGAGTTGAGACCTGGTATGCGGGCCTAACCAAACCAGCCCTAAACAGCGGCACCAACACTAGCAGTAGTACTGCTTTACAGATAGCTACAGTTGGTACAGGACAGAAGGGCCTGGCCGGTAGAGTTAGCAAAGTTATTACAGCAGCAGCAAGGGCTATCCTGCCTGTCTGGAGAACCACACCGACCAGCACCCTCATCCGAGACGCTGGCCTTCCTACAGCAGAGGTAGCCCTCGAAGCAGCGCGACTACGCTTCGCTATACGCCTGCAGAAGGTTGACCAACAGCATCCCTTGGTCCCAAGGCTGCTGCAGCCAGGGCGGCAACAGACCAGGCTCCAAAGAACAGCTTGCCTATTACCTAAGTGTCCAAGGCCAGCACTCCTACAGCCGCAATATCTCCCAGGGTCTTATGACCTTATAGTTACACAGACGAAGGATGTAGCAGCTAGGATCTTCCAGGCCTGGCTCAAGACTGTGCCAGGTCAGCATACAGTCGTATACTCAGACGGCTCCAAAGCTCCTGACGGAGCTACAGGGTACGGCTCTGTTATCTACCGCAACAATAAACGTATAGCCCAGGGCTGCGGCCGTCTCGGCTTAGCAGAAGTGTTTGATGGTGAGGCGGAGGGGGCGAGGGCTGGGCTCCGACGGGCCCTTCAGACCTCCCAAGGCCAGCCTATACACATCTGCATCGACAATACCAGCGTTATTCAGGGGATTCGCGGTAAGGTCCCAGACTCCTCACAAGCGGCCTTCCTTGAGATCCAGGAGGTAGCTAGGATACACGATATACAAACCCATTGGTCTCCTGGGCACCAAGGTATTAAAGGAAACGAAGAAGCAGACAGCCTAGCTAAGGAGGGAACAACTCTACCAGTCCTTAGGGGCCAACTAGCTACTCTATCAGGTATCAAGTGGCTTGCTAAAGAGCGGCCAAGACGCCAATATAGACGATGGTGGAAACAAGAGGCAACTCCCCGCTATACCCAACTAGGGCTCAAGGCTACCCTTGCTTGCCCTCCTGAACTTGGCCTCCCTAGGGCTGCCCTTCATCACCTCCTCGCGGCACGGTCAGGCCACGGGGACTTTAAACAATATCACCAACGCTTTAACCACACAGAGGCACTACTCACCTGCTCCTGTGGGTGGATTAAGGAGGCAGACCATCTAGTCTACTGCCGAAAGGCCCTACTGAGGAGGCAACAGTGGCCCACCCTCTACCCCTACAGCCGCCAGGAGCCCGTAGGACCTATAGGGTCCCTCGATCGCTACTTCAAGGGGCTAATCACTGACTCTGAAGGCTTCCAGGCCTTCCTCTGCGTGACAGACTTCTTCCAGAAGATCTGCCCGCGGCACTAGGAGATAGGTCATAACCTATCCTCCAAACGACAGACTACCTCTAATAAGAAACCAGATGGTTATAACGGAACTAGGGCACCAGTGGGAACTAGGGATGAATAGAACACATAGTAGCTCACGAGCAAGATTTGGAGGACGTCAGGAGACGGCGTGTACTATATAGTATATAGCTAGAGCCTGCGACCCTTCACGCCACATACCCTTCGGGAGGTCTGCCGCAAGGGCGGCTGCGCCCTTGCCGCCATGGCGTTAAATAGAACAACAACAACAACAACAACGACTGCGAGACGGTTTGTTGTGGGTTAGAGGGCGTTTGCGACTGCCAAGGTGGTGGTGTTGAATGGTTGGCCACAGGAGGTGTAGGCGTCCGTAAACGTACATCAAGCTTTTCAATAACATGCTCTGGGTTCCATGGTGAAATTCCAGCGCCTTGAAAAGCAGCCCTAATGTTTTCTTTATTAAAAACTTTGTTGTGGGCCTGGTAGAAGGCAATAAAGAACTCCGACTTGGTGATGTGGTTTATGGAGGCTTTGATGAATAGGTTGATTTCATCACCATATGCGCGTTTTAAAGGCGAATAAAGGGCAATATCCAATGGCTGTAGTAGATGCGATGAATGTGCAGGCATACTGGCCGTTATAATATTGTTCTGCTTGCAGTAATCGTCGAATTCGGCCGATAAATGGCTCTCATGGCCGTCGACAATGAGCATCCGGTAGACGCCCTTCGTTTGGTTCTTAGTATGTTTGTCGAAGTGTTTAATCCAGTCAAGACCCGTCTGATTATCCGTCCATCCATTATTAGTAGGTTTGATAACCCAGTCGCTAGGAAAACCTGATTCCGTGGTCCAACTAGCAAGGTGATATGCGCCTTTGACAATCACGAACGGATGGATGCACCACCCGCCCGAATTGATACATTCAATGACTGTAGCCCATTCACGGTTGCCAGGCTGGACAGACTTTACTTTGCCGCGTCGATCAGCGCGTGTTACTACTATTGACGCGGTGATCATGCCCATCATAAAGCCAGTTTCGTCGAAATTATATAGGTCCCCCTCTTGGATGCCATACTTAGCCATCATATTGCGTAACAGCGCAAACCACTTTGATATAACCTCAGGATCTTCTTGAAGAGCCCTTTGATAATCGTATGGACGATTAAACTTGGTTTTCAGAGCAGGCTGCGAGTCCACAAACCGCCTGGCCCATCGCTTGCCAACAGGCTTGCCATTACGCGCTCGTAGCAGGAGATTGGCCATATCTTCCACACCAGCGAGACGCAAGGGAAACCCTCTTTGATCCTGCTCAATAACATATTGGAGAAGCGCTTTCTCTTCGATCGCATCAAGTTTATGTCGTCGGGGTTGGGCACGTTCGCGTCGGGGTCGATCGTTCATTCTATGGCGTACGGAACTTTCGGGGACACCGTAAGTCTTCGCAGCACGCAACATACTTAGTTTTCGGCCGGCGGCGCGGGCTGATCGGATAGTCTCGATGGCTAGAAGTATCTTGTCTTCTTGTGTGTAAATTGGCATAATGGTTGTGGAGTTATTACGCGTCAAAGGTTGGAGTGGTTAATGCAAACCGCATTTGGGAAAAAGTTCGTCGCTGACTGATATTCGTCGCTGACTGATGAACCACGTTACCTAACTTATAACTAGTTATTCTAGATAATTATTAACGTATATCGTAAGGTATACGGTCTCGCAAGTAACAAGTCCTTCATCATACCCAACTCTTTCTCCTTCTATATTCTATAGGGTATAAAGTTCTTCGTTCTATACCCATAGAAGGTCTAACCTATTCACTATCTTTAGTAATACGCTGCACGATGGCGGAGATCCCATCCTCGGTTGTGCCAGCTCCTCAGAATAGCGTCATGCGTTCCACTACTGTGACTCCATCGTAGGGAGTGCATCGACTGCTACTGTCATCAGCAAATTGGTCGTATTTTCACGCAACGGATCATCCATACCTGACAGCTAGGTACATGAAGCCTGCCGCCGCTACACTCTCCCGTCAGAAGTGCCACGTAATGAGACTGTATCGTCAGAGGCCTGCAACAGTGAGGAACCGGCTTAATCGGAAGTAATGCGGCTCTCCCCTTCCTGATCGAACAATGGCGGCATCATTCGCTGTATGTTCGCGGCTATCCTGAGGATTTCTAACTGCAAGGCGAGCTGCTGCTCGGGACCCATACGACCTCGAATAGTATACTCTGTGACGGCTCGCAGCTGATCCGCGGCCAGCTGTCGAAGTCTGTGACAGTATTCGACGGATCTTGTGATGCTCATGGTTAGCGTTGTAGGCTGGGGTAGTGGGGCAAACAAGCCGCAATAAAGGTATACGAGAAGAATGGAAAGGATGTGTGCACCACGGTTTACGCTTATCTCTCATGGCTTTCAGACCAGTTCTGGAATATGTATGTGATATATATCGTTCGGCAGAGGTGAGCTGCGACTATGGGTGAATCAAGACAAAACAGAAACAGGATCCTGAGGTCACTTTTCAACCGTGCTTGGACACAAAGCCGATAGTGGCTCTGCGCCCAGTATAGCCGCTGCTTCGAATCGGATGTGGAGAAGTAAGCTGGCAGACTGAAATTGACTTCGCGAACGAATATGATGAGGAGCCTCTTGTGACGTGTACCCTTCTCGCTCGAACAACGAGACTACGTTAATCGAAGGGGGCCGTACAGCGGCTGACTGGTACAAAAGGCGGGTTCATTTATCGAGACACAAAACCCCCCGACATCACCGCTGCCAACCTCAGAGTCAAACTGTCTTTCCAGGTTTCCCTTAGCACGTATCCTTGCTATTGGGCTAACCCCCATCTTCGTTACGCCTTCTCCTACAACGTCACTCGGCTTTCAGCTCCTTCGCCATGAAGTTCGACACGTCGCTTTTGGTCGACGAAGTCTGGAATGCGAGAAGGGACAGCCGCCACGAGCCATCGGTCGCGAACATCCCGCTGCACTATGAACGAGCCAAGTCTCTTTGCCTGAGCCGAGGTGCGCGTCGCCAATACGTACATCATCGAAACGGAGTCCGCCATGCTAACATCAGCTTAGGCCTCACAGCCGATGACATTGATAAGCTGACCCCAAGGTTTTGGGACTTCCACTTCGATCGTACGTTCTCTTCCATGCCTGCCGTACATCATGCTCAACCACTATCTGCCAGTCATTTCTTCTCGGGACATGACAGCCTTCGTCATCGCAACGATTCATCTCAACTTATGTGTCGGAACGATTGCAAGGTTCTCACGCGAGCGGCCTGACCTCACGGCCACCCTCGAGGAACTCCTCACTTTCAAGGCTTGTGGAGAATTCATGTTGACAGAGGTCGGCCATGGCCTCGACGCCCGCAACTTGGAGACGACTGCGACGATGGAAGCCGACGGGTCTTTTACCCTGAACACGCCGAATGCAGGCGCCGCCAAAGCAATGCCGCCATCCTCGCCGCTAGCCGGCATGGCCCGCGTTGCTGTTGTTTTCGCCCGGCTCATCGTGGGCGGCGACGACCGAGGGGTGAAGCCCTTTGTCGTGCAAATCAACGACGCGAGAGGCATGTGTGACGGCGTTGTGTCGCGTGTGCTCCCTGTGCGGACCGGCACCAAGCCGCTGGACCACTCCATCACGACGTTTTACAACGTGCGGCTTCAGCCCGAAGCGCTTCTGGGATCGGCGTCGCGAGCTGACGACGAGCGAGAGGGGTTTCTTGCCCACATCTGGAGGGTGTCCGTCGGCACGCTCTCTCTCTCTATTATGGGGGTGTCTGCCATCCGAGTTGCGGGCTGTATCGCCGCCCGGTACAGCCGGCGTCGTCTGGTCGGAGATAGGGACAAACAGCCCATCATGCAGTTCAGCACACAGCAGAGACCGATCCTGGAAGCACTGGCGCACGGAGAAGTCCTGCATGCATACGCCAAGTGGAGCGTTGGCGAGTTTATGAACCAAAACCATAACGCAGACGTCCGCAGAGGGATCGCTACCGTCTTCAAAGTCTTGGTTGTGCGATCGTCTCGTCTACTTCACGAGCTGACGGAGCGATGTGGCTGGCAGGGCCTATTCGGGCACAACCAGATAACCGAACTCGCATCAACCTTTCAAGGGAACTCCGTGGCCGAGGGCGACACTCTCGTCATAAGCATCCGTAGGTTCCTCATACACGAGCTTAGATCTGGGTCCTGACACCTCATAGGTCTTGCTTCTGAACTCCTCATGAACAGATATGGTCTTCCACGACCGACCGATCCGACAGGATTTCTTGCCATGTATGAAGCCGGGATGCTCGAAGAGGTTGCGAGAGACAAAAACCTCGCACTTGGCGACTCCGGTCGCTTGAGGGGCACGACCTATAATAACAGCGTTCTACCTCGATGTAGAGCGATGGTGGAGGCCATTGGACAGCGCATGGCCTACGAGGCAGCTCAGGCGCAAGGCATCATCGCGCCGGAGGTGCTCGATGTGTTTGAAAAATCTTGCATTCAGAAGGATCCATCCTGGTTTGTCGAACACGGCTACGGCACTCGATCTGCGTTGCGGGACAACGAGAACAGGGCATACTCCAACTTGTTGCCTCTCTTATCCACGCTGGTGGAAAGGGCCAATGCTAAAGAGTACATCACGGTGCCTTTGGTTGAAGAGGGAGCCATGGAGGACTTCATCAAGGCCTTGCCGGCTTTTGGGGCTCGTACGGACAACATGGTAGCAGACCAGGCTCCAAAGTCCAGGCTTTGATGTAGAAACAATCCATTCATAATAGCTCTATCACTTGCATCTTTATTCCCGCCAGATTCCAAGGTTGCACATCGCGGCAGAAATGAGCGCGAGGGCAGGAGGTTTGATATGGTTAGTCTTGATGGTATGAGCATAGCGTCGTTTCTGCTTGCAGAACCGTGACATGTATGCATTTGTTGACCTTGATGTAAGGCGAGCCCTCGATTAACAAGAATGACAATAGATGCCAACACATCATTCGCCTATATAAACCACTATTTGTGAGCTTTCCACTAGTCGTAGGTCGCTGGATGACTGCATTCTGGAAAGCAGCAGTATCCATATCTTTCTTTCAAGGGTTCACCCCCAAGTCGAATGGGTCTCTTGCCGCAGGGGTTCGTGCATGACAAGAGCTTACATTGGCTTGCTGCCATCAAGAGGTGAGTCTATCCGTAGTCTTGCCGAATAGCGCTTTTTGGATTACCTGGCCATGGTTAACATAATAAGCAGCCATCATATCTGCCACGTGATGTAGTAGAGAGTGAGGACTACATGGTGAAAGGAAGTTCTATTCTTGCTGACGCTATCTCTTTTTATGAGGTGCGCTTGAGTCTATGGCAAACACTTAGAAGCGTTATTGTCAGTAAAACGGCATTGAAAATGAAAACGAAAATCACAAATTCCTTTTTTGCTCACTGGTAGCGTTTGCAGTGCTCCTGTGCATCATGAGGCTCCGTGACGGACGTGTTGATGGCATAGACTTCACTCGTAGTGCGAGCTGAAAGATATCAGCGAGAAAACCATGCGTGGAGACGTACGTATTCGGGGTTTCCTATCTACTTAGGTTATTTGGGAAGGGGGAAAAGCCCGAATGCAACATGAGATCGATGGCGCTGATCAAATACTAGTAGATAAACACTCGTCTACATTCTAGTCCTTCGGACCTGGGGCTTGAAATGCAGACTGGCTGTACGGTCCCTTCTCCATTCCTACGAGCCCTTTCTTGGCTACGTATTCCCTGGCGTCGGTCGGGAAGCGCTGTAGCAGGTTCTGGAACTGCCGTTGCTGGTTCTCCGACATGGGGAAGCGGTCGTCTCCCGCTTTGTAAGTCTTAGCTAGAGCGATGATAAGGTCCTCCTCTTTCTCTGAGGGAAAAGCCTCCATGGCGTGCCGCCATTTGCTCTCCAGACGAGGCACGAGGTATCCAAATATGTGGGCGATGCAGCCGTTTCCTTCGTACGGGTTTTGGTCGATGTCCAGGGTAGCCATGGTCAGCTTGCCGTACTTTTCCGCCTTGGGGAAGTCAAACCGGGTGATAGATGCATCGAAGATACGCCGCTCATCGAATAGCCCACCATACGACGCAGTAAGCTCGATGTTGTCTTTGTTGTGTTTGCTTGAAATGTCGATGGTGATCGCATAGGGCAGGGCTATGTCAGCCCTCAAGGCGGGGTTGAAGTCGAGTCTGCAATTCCGCATTTCGCCTATCGGCGGCAGGTAGTCGAGTAGCTCGTTCCAGAGCCACCACAGAAGCGGTGCCGAAGTCGAGCATTAGGCACGGTAGTCGAAGCAATGTCTTGTCCGCGAAAAGCGCCTTTTTGATAGAAGAAGTCGTGAGCGTTTTTGCCATCTTGAATCCAAATCGCCCAACGAGCTGTGACATGTCATCGGCAGCCTGTTGGATTTCGCGCAATAAGACCGTGGGCTCCGGTGCCGACGGTCTCACAGCAAGATCAGACAATGTACTGTTGTGGGTGAGGCTGGGGGTGTAGATGCTGGTACCGTCTGTGAGCGTAGCCGTCGAGGCGGTACTGGTACCGCCACCCTGATGAGATACCTTGCCATTGCCAGAGAGAAAGGGAGGAAGATGAGACATTGTATACTTTGATCTCGCAAGCAAAATGTGCTCGAATTGAGCAGAGACTTGGCGATAGATAATACAAACAAGAGTGTGCAAAAGACTGCAGGCTGCCGACACCTATTTATATAGTTTCCAGACATGGTCTGTACATGAGGGCGCTGCGAAGCCTAGCTCGCAGAGCACTCTCCGAACTTGAGCAATACAAGGCAGGACCCCAGTCCGTTTGGCAGTGGATTCGGTCCCCTGGTCAAGGCGGAGGAATCTCAGCGTAGAGACCCTGCACACCCTCACAAACGCCAGCACACAGCGCCTTGTCATTCGGTGGCTCATGATACTCTGCCAGTCCACCTTTGCAAGCTTATGCAGATAGGCTTGTCAGCCAAGTCTCACAGCCTCTGAGGCGCATTCAGCTGGTCAAGCCGTGAGGCAGACTGTTGGTGTTAGGCTTAGCGGTGAATTTCACTCTCCGAGTATCTGCCATCGCTCCCTCACTCCGTCACGCGACTCCATCCTGCCACATTAATTCTCTACTTCCTCCCCCTTGAGCAAATCATATCTGCTTGCTCTTTGGCTCCAACAGCAATCTTCAAAACATTCTGCGCACAATGTCGCAACTGCCCGATTTGACTGTCGGATACATCTGTACGGATGCAAACGCGCTTGCCTGCTGCATCATCTCGCCGGCGAGGTCAGGTGCAAAGCATCTTGATACGGCACCGTCGAACTAGCCTGCCAGCTCGCGAAGTCGGCCAGGTCCAAACAAAAAGGCTTGAAGATATACATATTAATGTCTAAGCGGGATTCGAGCGAACCTCCGGATCGCCAGGAGAATGCCCTGCAGGCCGTTGCAACATGTATGCTTTTGGTGTATTGAGACAAAATTTCAGGACTCCGGGCCGGGATATGGGGAGGAATCCGTATTTATTACTTAGACTGCCGCAGTTTCCTCTCCATACACACCGAAAGCCTCGTGCAATCAAGCCGTCCTACTCCGGAAAGCGGATGGCTACCTTGGTTTCCTTCCTTCCATTAAAGCGTTCGTAGTACTCTGGCGCGTCCTCGATGCCAATGACTGCGCTGATCACAAAGCTTGGGTGGGCTTTGCCGCTATTGATGAGGTCGATCAACTGCGGAGCGTACTGCTTCGGATCAACGGCCCCTGTTCGGAAACTCAGGCCCTTGGCGAAGAAGGACGAGACGGGGAAAGGAATCGTGGGCGAGATGTCGCTGCCGTACGGTGCGCCAGGCAAATCGTCCTGCGAACTATACACGCCCAGTTGGCCCAGGCCTCCTTTGAAATGCGCCACCTCAATCATCTGTTGTGTGATAATGCTCTCGTCCATCTCAAGGCTCGAGTTCAACGCCTCCATGCCGACACAGTCTACAGTGCGCATGACCCCGTCCGGCTCGCGAGCCAGAATCTGGGCGACGGGGTCTTCGTCAGCAAAGTTGATCGGGATGGCGCCGATGGAAGCGGCGAGATCGAGGCGGTCCTTGACATGGTCGACGACGTAGACCTTGGACGCTCCACGCAAAATGGCCGAGTAGGCAGAAAGCAACCCAACGGGACCCGCCCCGAAAACGGCGACGGAATCGCCGGGTTCGAATCCGGTGTAGTCGATGCCGGCCCATCCCGTAGCGAAGATGTCCGAAACGGTCAGGTAGTCGCGCTCGATCGTCGAATTGGCGGTTTCGTGAGTCAATGGGATGGGGATCAGGTTGGCTTCAGCGAAAGGGACCCTCGCGTATTCAGCTGCGCATCTTCTTGTCAGCAATCCTCTCTTTGGCATGCCCAGGATGCATATGGAGCAGGCATATTCGTACCTTGCAGACCGCCTAGACCCATCTCACTATTCCCGAAGCCGAAGTATTCCTTCGACCTCGGCTCCATCTCCAGATGATCCTCAGACACGGTGTCGGGAATGATGACATAGTCCCCAACGGCGAAGGAGGACACGGCGTCGCCAATCTCCGAGATGTAGCCGACGGCCTCGTGGCCCATTGTCCATGGCACCGCACCGCCCATGTAGCCGCGATAGATGTGCAAGTCGGATCCGCATACGGCCGAGGTGGTCACCCGCACAACGACATCCGTCTCGTTCAGGATGGCTGGCTTGGCGACATCTTGTACCATCATTTCGAAAGGCGTGCCATGGTAAACAACTGCGCGCATGGTTGCGGCTGGCCAGGAGAGATTGAGTGACATTGTTAGGTGTCAAAGAGCGTCGATGCTCGAAATAGTTGTGTGTATGAGGCGACTATGCGATTCTATGGCGTGCGTGACGATGGTCTGATGCGATTCTTGGTTTTCATTAACAAGAGGTTTGAGACACGGCGAGAGCCATAGTTATACGGGCACATGTTGCCAAATGGCATGCGGGCTTTTCTCTACTAACACACTTGATTTGCTACGCTGGCACATGTTGTTGGAGCACTCGTAGCCTAGCCAGTTGGTGTAGCAAGTAGCTCGAGCAACAAATGTTGAAGAAGCAACAGGGCATGCGATATGCCTCGCACGCGTCGAGATAGACGCTCCGGCCGATCTGACCGTCTTCGCTTGTGGAGCTATGGCTGCCGTATTCCGATTTGCACGTCAGCATCCCAAATGTCACGCTCAAAGGCGATCTTTCTCCACTTTGTCGAGATGGGGGCAGATAATGGACTGGCCCAGAGCCCTCTCTGGCGTCAATCGGCAGCAAAAGACGACATGGGCCCTCCGTGGATACCACCAGGGATGATGACGACCCACACATACGGAGGTTCAAAAGCATATCTGGATTCACGGAGGCAACAACAGTGGAAACATTGGAGCAGCTTTTCGCCGTCTCCATAAGGTGTGAGGTTATAGACCAGCGCCACAAAGCGTCAGCCAGTTTGGTGCAAGTCAGATCTGCTGCTTTGCAGTGGCCGAAGAGATAGTCCGGTGTAAAGGCTACCGTGATGCAGATTCCTTGAGGAGGCCGCCAGGAAAAACCTCGTAGTAGCTTTCGACTCTGCGAACCCCGCGTGCCCCACTCTTCACCAGACCTTGTCATGAAAATACAGCGCATGTCGCAGTGTCACTTCCATCCGAAGAAGCATTATTAACTAGACCCACAGAGATTATATGACATTGATAGGCGCCGAGAATCACCCTCTGCTACGCATCTTGACTCAGTTGCACGTACTCGACTCCCGGAACCATGCCTTGCGTCTGGCAAACGCACGCGTCCATGTCCTCGTATGTCGCTTGAGAACCTCCCGTGCCGTACAGACCCGCCTCCGACTCTCGTCTTGCCTTCGCTCGGTCGGCGACAGGGCCCACAGAGCCCAGCAGCATTTTTTGGCCGAGGAGCGGGCCCGGGCCCCGCAGCAGTATCTGGCCCGCGTCCAGGTGGAGATGGTCGATGATGTCCATGCCGGCCTGCCCCAGCTCATCCAGTTCTTTCCACTGCTGTCCGCCCTTGCTATGCGCAGACCCGAGAGAGACGAGCTGCATCGTGTAGAGATCTTGACGCAGGGACTTTTCCGACTCTTTGACGCGTTTCGCCAGCGGGACGAATAGTGCCTTCCACTGCTTTTTGATGTTGATGAGCGTTACGTTAGGGACGTCGTCCGGCAAGAAGCTGACGGAGATGGTCGGCGTCGCTCCGTTGTCACTTGTCAGGCTCGCACGGGCGACTTGGGCTTGCAGTATGAACTGGGCCTGCAGCTTCGATATGCCAGCCGCATTCAACGTCGGCGGCTCGCCCATGATCTTTTCGTGCGTATCCATGAAGTCGTTCAGGGTCCAGCTCTTGGCAAAACGAGAGAGCGCCGCAACGATCTCTGGTTCTATTTGGTGTTTGACATCTACGTCGCCTACATCCCGACTACGTCGAACCTGGTCGATGACGGCGCTGATCCGATGCTCGGCAGTTGTGATCTCTTCGGGGCTCGGAGAACTCGCCGTCGGCGGTCTGTCGTCCCACAGACGGATCATTTCTGCCTTGGATCGCGCTGCTAGCATGCCCTGATAGAGTTGTTTCTCATCCGCCGCGTATGGGTCATCATCGGTATCAGACAAGTAATCCAGACACTTGACCAAAACCTGAAGCTTATGGATGTATGCGAGCTGCTGCAAGTGGCTCAGCAGCCTGATCTGGGCAAGCGTTTGCGACCTATCTAGCAAGCTGTTATTGATGACATGAACAACGAACATGAAGCTGCGGGACTTTGCGCCTCGCACAGTCCAAGGCCGGAGCAGGCGACACGCTTCGTTATGCTCATTATATGAGTATCGAGGCGGACGAGTTACGGTCAGTGGATAGTGCGTGGGCAGGGTCTGGTCTACGTCTGTTTGTAAGCTATTGAGAGGTCTCGATGGATTACAGCCCATTGTTACGGCGAGACGAACACGAGAGTTCCTACGTCGGCCTGATGGCAGACAGGCATTGGCGCGATGTCTTTTCATACTTGTACCGCTTTGCGCAAGATCCAGAAGTGGTGACATGGGCCGGTACATGGCTGCCGAGTTCAGCGTCCTAGGCCATTGACTTCGCTGCTCGATGTTCAGGCCGTATACGGATTCGAAAGAGTCCAAACCATCCCCGTGGCGCAAAGAGCCACATTTTGCAATGTTGCGTGTACTTCGTCGAACCCACATCAGTTGCACCACGAAGGGGGTCGATTTGGGCAACGACACCCAGAACTGCCCGTGATGGCATCTGCCACGACACCAAGACATACATCCATTCCACGAGACGTTTCATGGGCTCCACGTAGTATACGGCATACAGCCTTTTTCAAAGATCATTCAAGGTCTCCTCCCCAGACCGCCCTATCCGTAGACTTCCCGGTATCAGAGACGGAGTAACAACCACTGAGCTATCGTTCTTGCTCTTGCCATCCGTCAGCCAAAGACTTCTCGTCGACTGTCCGCTACCCACCAAGGGCTCACGCAGCCAGCGCAAGCAGCTGAACTCCGCCATGGGGAATGATACCGCCTTCGCGACCATCTTTATGTGGGGTCCGTTCTTGTATGCTGCCACGCTCATCCTTCTCCAGTATCTACGACTGCGGCACATCCCCGGCCCCCCCTCTGCCGGATTCTCCCCTTGGTGGCTTCTGCGTGCCGTGTATAGCGGTAGCATGCACCTCAAGTTCTACGAGGCCGGCCTCAAATATGGTGTTTACCACTGTTTTCAATGTCGCTCACGACGCTCGCTAACTCCTCTTACAGGATCTCTTGTTCGCGTCGGTCCAAACGACCTTGTGACGAGCGACCCGGACCTCATGAAGCGTACGCTCGGCGTGCGCACCAAGTACACGCGTTCAGACTGGTACAACGCGATGCGACTGGACCCGAGAAACGACAACGTGCTGTCCACCAGAGACGATGCAGTGCACACCAGACTCCGGTCTCAGATGGCCGGAGGGGTAGGTCATCTTCTCTCGTGTGCCACAGGTCGATTCGTATGGACTGCTGACGATCGCGACAAAGTATTCTGGCAAAGAAGTCGTCGAACTTGAAGCCAAGATCGACGAAAGCGTCCTTCGACTCATGTCAATGATCGATACGTATGCTTCTCAAGATAAAAGGTTCGACTTCGGCCTGAAGGTGCAGTACTTCACGCTCGACGTCATTTCAGATCTCGCATTCGGCAAGCCGTTCGGCGATCTGGCTTCCAATTCGGATGTTTATGACTATATTCACACGACGGAACAAAGCATGCCGAGCATCGTCGTCGCGGCCGTTCTGCCCTCTCTACTCCATGTGTTATCGTGGCCTCTGCTTCGGCGGCTGATGCCTCCGGAGAACGATGCCACCGGGTTCGGAAGGCTGATTCGGTACGTCTTGTTCGCGTCCCATCTCGGACTTGGTCTGCGCTTGGCCGCTGATTCGTCGACTTGTGCGGTCTTTGTTGCGTTCTCGCAAGTCCGGCACAGCTGACACATCGACAGGATGGCGAAGGAAATCGCCGGCGAGCGCTTCGGGCCAAGCAAGAAGACGAGGCAAGACATGCTTGGCTCTTTCGTAGCACACGGCCTGACGCAAAAAGAGGCGTCTTCGGAAATCCTCATGCAAATGTACGACTTGCCGAGATCTCTTCGGTCCTATACTCTGAGGCCACTACTAACCCTTCCGACAGACTCGCTGGATCGGACACGACGGCCACGGCGATCCGAGCTACGCTGCTTCACCTCATCACCAACCCACGAGTGCTCGCGACACTTCGTGCAGAGATCGAGCGCTTCCGGCCGTCTTGGCCTGTCGTAAAAGAAGCGGAGGCGCGACAGATGACTTACCTGCAGGCTGTCATCAAAGAAGGCTTGCGTATCTTCCCTCCGGTTGTCGGACAGATGTCGAAGGAAGTCCCCAAAGGCGGCGATACCTTTAAAGGCGTGTACTTCCCGGAGGGAACGCGCATCGGTTACGGAGCGTGGGGTATTTTCCGCCGAGGCGACGTTTGGGGACAGGATGCCAACGACTTCCGACCGCATCGATGGCTCACGGCGGATGCGGAGACCCTGCGATCGATGGAGGCGACGCTCGAGCTTGTGTTTGGCCACGGCAAATGGAAGTGTTTAGGACGGAATGTGGCGATGATGGAGTTGCAGAAGATATTTGTTGAGGTACGTTGCTGCGGCGTGTCCGGCGTGTGGTTCTGCTCTTGCGATGACGACGCACTGACACTTCTGTCAGGCCCATCCCAGTACACTCGTTACAACGATTGTCACACTATGCCTATGAAACAATATGGTCTTACACAAGCATGACTAAGTTTGCCAAGGATATGCCAGTATAAAGGGTCTTCCACTCACTATATAGATAGTCGGGATATTCCCATAGCCACTCGTTCTTCATACTCATCAATACATCCCATTGACCCCCTACCTGATAATCGCTGCCCAACAACCAGCAACACCAATGCATCGCACATGTCACGGCCTCAAGGGCGGGATCTTCTTTGCGCGGTACAGAACACAGGGCATGGCATGTAGAACACTCCCTGAACGTTTGATAGATACCGGGGCAGGTCGTCTCCTCACACGTAAACGACATGGAAGGGAAATGAAAATTTCGAAGGATAGTTATGAGAGAATTATAGAATACAGCAACAAACCCCCATGCGTAATGAACTCGGCAACTACTCTATCCCATCGGGTGCGGATGGACCCCATTTTCGCCAAGGGCGGGGTAACCCAATGAGATTCATTGCCTGGAAATATCTAGAAATATTTGCCCAATCAGATGCTTATATATGGGCGTTTTTGGAGTAAAAGTGGGTAATTCTGGTCTTGGCGAAAATGGGGTCCATCCGCACCCGATGGGATATCGCTATCGTCTTCTTCTACGCCAGGCCCGTAGCTTTCATCTGAGACGTCTGAACCGCCACAATATTCGTCTAACCGCCCTCCTTCCGCCAGATCTGAGTCTTCGTCAGATTCAACGCCAGACATGTCAGAACGGTAAGGCTCGTCGCCCTCACCGTCAAACTGGTCTTCATCCGCGTCACACATTAAGTGTCCCCCTGACTCCAGCTCGTCGTCGCTGAGCGTATCGAGAAACAGCTCGGCCGCATCTGCAGAGCTCATCTGGAAGACGGCCCGTGTCCGGTGCATGGTCGCCTCGTGAGTGTCGGGAAACAAGATTCGTACGCAGCAGTACATGTATAGCATCTTTCTCGATACCGAATCATCGCAGAGATCGAAAGTCGCTGGCAAAGTCCCGGGGTGAACGGTGTCTTCCGGTGCATGGATTTCCCAAATCCGCGCAGAGAACATCAAAAGCTGTTCGAGCACTTTGATGGTGATGAGCATGTTTCCAAAGTCAAAGTTCAGTGCCTTATCAAACTCGAATAACAAGTTGGTCCTGTTGTCCGACGGGCCGTCTTCACGTTCCTCGGGCGCTTCGCGGACTTTCAGGCACGCGAGAAGCGCGGCGACCTTGACGACGAACTCTTTGCCTTGTAGTGGCCCACACAGGCAGCTTATGATGTAGGCAATGAACCGATCTCCCGCGGTGCTGTTCATATCTTCTTTGACTCTGTTCAGCGGCGGGTACCACGTGTCGTCGGTCAGCCCGTTGTGGGGGCAATTGACCGCCAGGCAGATGGCGAGGCAGCATCGCTCATCTTGTCTAAGCAGGTTGGTCCTGACTCCCATTAGCAGGATACCTATAGGGCATGTAAGAGTTCGCCGCTCACCACATAGAATCCATGATCTCTTACAGCGCGTCTATGGTGATTCGGTAGCCCAGGCCATGCCATCGCCAATGAAGAGATTTATATCGTCAGAACCATGGCTCTAGACTGCCTTTGTTTTTGGACAAGGCACATTGTGCTCTTCATACGTGTAAGCTCGTGTCGACATCCGATACCGTCTTCTGAGAAGCGAAGCTCTACGCAACCGGATTTTGCAGAAGCCACCAACGGCTCGACGGTCAGCGTTTCCCACGAATGGCCGTTTTTGCAAAGTATCTGCAATGACGCCGAGGCCATAGAGACAGTCTCAAAGTTGATAACTGTGCTGTACAGTCCATACATACCCACGGCATCCATGCATGGAGTGTGCTATATCAAGACGAGATCATCTCCTGGCTCACGCACCCGTGAAAGCTCTGGTTCTTTGCTCATCGAGCTGGCGACGAAAGCAGCCCGAAAAAGACCAGGCAACCTTGCCAGGCTTACAAAAATTATATCTCGTCTACATCTGGCGTCAGTTTCGCGGTTGGCAAACGCAGTGTCCGTCCTCACATAAGGTGATCCATGTCACGTACTTCGCTCGGCAACCCATCGGCACTCTACCCATCTCGATGGCAATCCGACATGGCAGCCAGACCTTTGAAGCGCCCTCGCCGATCAAACGGCCTGCCGCGCCTACCAAGCGACATAGACAACGCAGTCGCTGCCTTGGGCGGGAAAACCCACGCAACCGACCTCGCAAACAGCACCATACAGTCTCAGAAGGCACCAGTCAGTAAGGAGAAACGTCTGGAAGAACTCGTGAGAGACTCCGGTCGCCTCAGGCAAGAACTTGACTATTGGAAAAGCTTGGCTCTCACAGGAACCGCCTTCATGTCCGATGTCGAACAAGTTGTGGTACAGCTTCGAGATGTTTGCAGTCGTTTCGAGAGCGTCATGAATGAGACAAACACCATGCCTGCGGAGGGAAGATTGGGCTCTGGCTATCCGTCCAAATGTCGAAAGAGGGAAGACGTGGAGGTACAGGATGGTGACGAACCAGACTCGCCATTAGTAGAGGATGATCTTGACGTGCTCTTGGCTCCCGTCAGGCGGGGTCGAGAAGGCTATGACTTTGAGGCCGTCAAGCCAGAGTTGAAGCGGAAGCAGCCACACAATCCCGGAGGTTGGCTCTGATAAGAAGCGCACATGGCCTGCACCGGGATTCGCCGGGTCCATCTTCATCCTGTGATGTCATATAGAGGAAAAGAGAATCCATGCCCATGCACACAAACATATCACCGCTGTCATTCACGTGAATCACCTCTGTCATCAAGAGTTATAAGGGTGCTACGCTGCTTTTGGGCCTGGCTCAAGTCCGCTGATGCCGCCGGCTTGAGGCGTCGTATTTGGTTTCCAACGTCTGGATGGTGGTTCGAACCTCTCTCCTATGACCCACTTCCATCTCTGACAGATCATGCAAAGGACAAGGCCAGGCACTTTACGTGGACAACTGCTTGCTTTCTTAGGGAAATAAAACGGCCCATTCGTAGCTGCACCCGTATGTATCCCGTTGATGCTGCATTCAAGCCTCTTCAAATCCTGTGGCTGTTCCAAGCCTGGCTGATCCGCTATTTACTTCATCTCCTATCTGACTGTGAGACGCTCTAGGATCGTCACCAACAGACTGGACGAGATACTTCACCGATGAGCCAAAGATGCACTTCTTCGCCAGTCCGCGCGATCAATGCTATCATTGCTGATTGCCGGCTAAAATGAGCTCCATGGCTATGCAAAAACGAGATGGACATACAGCCCCGCGCCGCATACTTTTGCGGTATATAAGGGCGGCCTTTAACCACGGTGTAACAAGAGCTCAGCTTCGACTCAACCCTCTTCACATTTTCCCCAAATGCCGAGGTTAGCAAAGGAAGTACTCGATTATGTCATGAATATCTTCTTCTCCGACAACACATGGCATGAAACAGCCGCTAAACTCAAGGCCAATCCCATTTTCTTTGGATCGGACCTTGAGCGACTTGCGCTTGGTGAAGACAGCCACGAGCTTCATCTCGCAGCTGCATCCATGGACTGGGTTGGAGATCTCCAATACAAGCCAAGGTGGCCGAATCGCTGAAACGGCCTCGGTGCAAAAGCTCTGGGGACCTTTTGCGCCATCAGGGCCCGGGCCCGCGGTTCACTTTGAACATTCAAGAGGAGAGCGACGATGTGGACGACTATACCAGAGTTCGAGCTTATGGCAGCCTGTTCTGCCAGAAGAGCGACGAATTGACAACTTGCGTACTATATTACAATAAGGGCCAGGGTTTTCTGGAGTATTTCTACATTCCGCGCCACCAGCTGCCTTGGAAGAAACAATACAGAATACCTTTGCAGCACTCGTTATCAGGGTATGACTCGAGGCCGCTCGACTGGGTTGTGGTTGAAGATGTGAACATAAAATAGCGCTGAGACGTATCAACTCAATGCTGGCTGGCACACAAGTTTCTGCTGGAACCGATCACGCACGGCATCTACCGCTAGCCCTGCAGTATTGGATTGGGTTCTTGTACTGGGTCCTTGTAGAGTCGTTGCATGTGAACAGGTAATAAGGTCTGCGAATTAACAGAGATATGCGTCCCATGGAAATTCACCCATAGAAATTCAACATTGACTTACATAGCCGTACCGCATGTCCATCGCCGAGCGAGATGAACCAACAACCTAACAACATATGCAAGCTTATTGGGGCCGAAGTCAAAGTTAGGACACCCGCCGGCTGCGTATTCGCCCTGGACCATTCGGACGTCCTTGTTGGCGTTGTTCGTCAACCTAGCAAACGGTGGGGATCCGATGGTCATCACTAAGAACCAGATACCCTTGTGCTTTCGGGTCAGTAAATAGAAATGCCTCAAAAAAGGTCTCTGCGACTGACTGACCCGCGCAGAGACACAAGATCATTCCCGGTTCAGCGCGCCCAATCAGCCGTGCCGCCTTTGACAAAGCGATAGTGTATTGATTGCTTCCTTCTAGGGATAGAAGGCGATATCTGGGCCATGAAGCCTGTTTGTTTGGCATTATACATTGATCATCTGTTGTAACAGGGGCTGACCGCACGGAATCACTCCGACCAGCCGGCTCATCCAGAAGTGGCTGTGAAGCAGCATTACCGTCACAAAGCCCCACGGTCCGTTGCAACCCAGATCGCGCTCTTGATGCCGGCGAGCGTCGATTCGTGCGCAAGTGTCAACCACTCCCCTAATTCTGACACTCATCTTCGTGTTGGTAGAGCTTCAAAATCTTCTAGCCACTGGCCAGGTATCATCACCCCTCCCCCCCTTCCCCCCCATCGCCTACGGCGCTTCCGCTTCGCCAACCCGAACCCTTGTCCGACACGCGGACTCGTGCAAGCTGGCACGAAAATCAACAGCCATCTCCACGACCGTGACGACCATTGACGACCAGTACTCGACACCACCCGCGCAACTTTGGCATACCCAATTTGGCGAAGATCAACAGGTGTGCAGTTTGAACCATCGACATATATAGTGCGGCAATCTCCTCAGTCACGACCTTCACATCCTGCTCCAGCACAGCTAAACACTCTGCAACATACTCAGCAAACCCTCCGATAGCAATGCCTTCTCGAACCTCAATAGAGTATCTTTTGGCGCCCACTGCAGACACGCCGACACTTTGTGACGAGACGGAGGCTATTCAAGAAGACATGGTCGGACCGCACACCCCGCCCGCAGATACCATGTCACCGTCAATAGATTTCCAGCGCCAACAAGCAGACATGGAATCGTATTCTGACACCACAGGCTATTCCACGTCGGCGTGCTCGTTATCATCGCCTGCAAAGCTGACGTCCTCTGGGCAACCGACCTTCAACGACATGGTCTCGGTATATACACGGCAGTCTTCAGGCGTCACTTCCTCGAGTATGGCCCTCCAGGAACAGATGTTCAGTGGTTACTACAACGCGGGCTCCGCTGGTCTTTCGGCTCAGATGTGTCCTATTTGTGTGCATATTGCGTTCATGAAGTGAGTCTCTCCGAATGCTGTGAAGTAGTGAGTGGCCGCTGATTTACCCAAGTCCTTGTTTTCTACGGTCCATGTGCGGTCAACAATGCTTCGAGGTCTCTGGCTCAGCAGTCTACGATCCAGCCTTTCTTCATGCGTCTCACGATTGCTACTGTGGATGGTATGCTGGATGCGGAATCTGTGTGTTCAAGCCAGTAGAGCATAGCATACCGAGCGGTTCTTGTACGGGGAGCTCACATCTCGAAACCGGATTCACTGATAGATACCTGAAAAATGCGGCTGACTCTTCTCACGCTATCTATGATGGGCCGCTCTCCCCATCGGTTCCTGAGCTTGATGGCCAGCCCATCTCGCAACATGGCTTTCTTTTTGGAAACGTCGACGACGGAGGTGTCGGTTGGGAGAACGTTAGACCTACTGGTCTTCCAGCATCGGTCTTTCCCGAGCAGATAACCGCGTGGAAAGATTGAGAGGCTTCATCTTTCTTACTTTGTTTTTTCGCGTCCAGTTTAGCGCCGTACTGCATCATAGCTAGTGGCATTTTGATTCTAGGATAGGATGAATGTAGAGAAAGACTTGAGTTATGCGCGAGCGGGGATGCAGAAAGCCCATCTCTTTCACGTCAGAGCCATCGAGTGGACTATAACCAGGTGATCTCTAGGCTATGAGCCCGCAGATCGTGGTGTTCTTCATCTACATGTAGTATCCAGATTCAAAATACATCACGAATCGGGAACAGGGTCACTTTTCCACGATCGGCCTATTACGTGCATTATCAGGTGGTTCTCGCATTCGTTCCGATTATAGACTTTTGGTAATTCTTTGTATTCTTCTTGAGTCAACACAAGCCTCTTGTTCCCACTTCCCCCGTTGGTGCCTGCCACAGCTCGTGACAACATGACACCAATGTTTGCACTAATGTCCCCATCCTCTATCCGCGCTCGCAGCCGTGCTCTCATCTCCCTTGACAGATCCGAACTTCTTCAACATGCTTCCAATCAAAGAACGACCGGCCGCCGTGCCGTCCAAGTCCACACGACGGATAAACTGAAGAGGCTCCGTAGCCGACGTATTAGCTTCACTGGAGCCTTCCCATTCTGTCATTTCGTCCGCTTCGATAACGGTGCATGTATCGAGACTGCGACTGGAACCATCCTGCTCACTTTTTGCTCTGGCAGGTTTCTTAAGACGCCCTGTTTGACGTTTCTTGCTGCAGAATGCGGCGTTTGAAGCCTGGCGAGCCCCTGCCGCAGATTGACGAGATAACGGTCGGTGGCTGTTGGTGGTGCGGAGTTGGATTTGCTTCGTTCGTCCCTTCGAGACAAGCGGGGGGCGGAACGTCACTTGGGGGCCAGTCTTGGGAGGCGCCGGTCGAGGTCGCTCCATGTGGGGCGACATGGAAGAAACCCATTCACTCACGACGTCGAATGAACGCAAAGACTCCAGGGACATTTTAGTTGGCTGACAATACCTCGGAAGTGGAAATGCTCTTTTCGGACAGTGTCTCGATGGATCGTTGGAACACTACATTTCAGCTCATACGTACATAGCTACAAATATTGATTTGGGACCTCGCGGCAAAGCTGCTGCTGGATCAGTGGATCTTTGCATGCCCCAGGAGCCGCTCTTCGATCTGGGGTGTGTGCACTGTAATCAAAGGGGAGCTCGTTCTGGATTTGACAGCGCATCCCCTGGTCGTGTCAGAGCCAGATCGGCGACCCCAGAATCACAAAAGGCAGTGCACGATATCTGGTCGCTCCACGTAACGGCACAAGTTGACCGATGGCCCAGAGCGCCAGAAGGTTTGCTTCCTCATTCGACCTAGTTCTCTGCCAACAAGCTTACATCTGTCGGCCGCAAACCAACGAGCGGCGTGACTGAACCCGCTTTTCGCCGACCTAGTACGGTCCACTCGTTGTGTCGGTAGCCACTCTCAAGGCCTGGCGCGCACTGGCAAGTCTCGTCATGCTCGGCCATCAATTGGCCATAACTGAAGAGGTCCTCTTCTGCTTCCCACGTCGGACAGGCGTAGCCGTCCCACTTGACGGCGTACAGATTGATGCCATCATCCGTCTCGTAGCAGCCCACGATACACTGAAGATGGGACGCCCAAGTCGCGTTGCTTGGTCGGGGCCGCTCGACGCATTCTTGCCATACCTTGACGCACTCTCCGTCTTCAATGACCCACAAAAGTTGATAATCGCCCAGCCAATCCCACTCGAGGGGGTCACGGATCCCCACGGCCACGCCATAGAACATGTGAGCGCCACTCGTGGCGGTGCAGATGACTTCGACTACCTCAAGGCACGAGGACCAGGCTGCGTGGACCGTCGAACCTCGCTGCACTGTCATTTTGATGCGGAAATATCTTTGAGTGAGGTAGGTGGGCCTATGTACGTACAGCGTTCTCCTTGGGATGCGAACCTCTTGGAGATCGATGATGAGAAGGCTACGTTGAGGCATTGGCTATCGTCAGATGGTCTGAATTTATACAGCTATGTAGGCAGACATACGTTCGCCGATGTCACAGTGCGTGGCCGTATCTGCATGTGATAAGTTTCCGTAGTCAAAGATGTCTTCTCTCTTCACCGGCGAAGGCTCTAATTCAGGCCTCCAGTCAGAACCACTGGCAAGATCGTGGCTGCGGTGGCGGTGTCTACCTGTAATATTGCGATACCATAACTGTGCAGACCTGGCAAAAGCACAATCACACTGTTTTGAATGTTTGTATATAAGGTTGCATCGAGTAATTCAATTGGATAAGTAGTTTGATGTATGGCAGGAAAGCCACCTTAAAGGGCTTTGCTGTCACGGTACATCTTCCTAGCAGCTTGATCCGCATACGAGCCGGCATATCTCCTTTACAGTTGAAATCCCCTCTTAGCATCCTAGCAAGAGCTCTCAAGAAGCCCTAAGAGGTCTCTCCGGACATGCCTGTCTTGAGACGGAACACCCACCCTCAACACCGCCTTCTCGCTGCCGTCGAATTCCACCAAAATGACAGCAGTCCATTTGTTCTTGGCAATCTCCTGCATCAGCGCAGCTACAGCAGCAACGGGCACGGTTGTGCTACATTCATCGTCGGCTTTCTGACCAAGGTCACAGGACTGTCTCCTTGTGTCTGGTGTGTTCGGCGCCGTGTAGTCATCCTCGGACGTGTCGTCGGGCGCGGAGGGGTCGGTATTGTCTTTTTCGTGTCAGCAGATGCCATTGACGATACGTACGTTACTGGAAGTGCCGTAGGAGAACCTACACATATTGATACGAGCCCTTTTTCTGCTACGTTTCTGTCTCACAACTTCAACGGCCTTCTCTCTTTTCTCGAGCTCATTTTCATCGAGGAAAGAACACCCGAAGAGCTGTGTTGTCAAGTGGTCCAAAGGCCGAATGCCTGTATCGAGCGTGGAATCCATGTCGTCTGAAACAGTCAGCCAGCCTGTGAGCGTGCTCTTGGAAATGGTGAAGATGGTGTGCACTTGTAGCTCAACAAAGATGGCGGGCTCTATGATTTATACGTCTGCGCGGCTGGAGGATACTTGATTTCTAATCGGACGAATGCTCTCCGGAAAGATGAGCTCCCTACTAAGCAATGAAACCTCTTCTCCCATCAGGGATGTGATGTCACGTCTATGACAGGCAGCTATTCACCTTATCACTAGCTTCGCCTACCAACTTTCTCCCGCCCTGGTACCGTTTCTCTTATATTGACAGTCTCGCATCTCTCCCCTTACCATCTCGACCTATCAAACTAACACCACCTCCGCATGGCGCTCTTTCTTTCTGATCGGAAAACCCCTGCAATTGCCGGCCCTGGCCTACTCTCCTTTGCATTTCGCAGCATGTTCAAGACGCCCGTCTTCGTCAGACTCACACTATCCTTCAGCATCTCTGTGACGAGACGCACAATCACGCTCGGCGACTCTTGCAAAACCCGTGATGCGGCAGCGTCGCTACCCCGGGACGCTGCCCAGAAACAGTGCGAATACAACACATGGAATATCTTCAACAGCTTAGGCTCTCGCGTCAACAGGCTGATCACACTCCAGTGGTCTTGTGCGTCCGCAAGCCGCGCCAGCTTGCCGATGATGTCGCACAACACGGCATCGTCCATCTTGGCACCGCGCCGCAGCAAGATCGACGCCATCACGGGATTGCCGTGACATGTGGAAAGTGCCCAGTCGAGACTCGTCGCACCATGCGAGTCGCGCTTGTCGATCTCTACGAGACCCGAAGAAAGCAGCATCTCGGCCTCCCACCGGCGCCTCGCTCGAGCCAGTTTCAGCAAGAGAGGTCCTGTCCAGTTGCAGCGTGCCGATATGCAGACCGTTTCGTTTGGGTCGGCACCTGACTTGAGGAGGAGGTCGATGAGCCGTTGCTTCACCGCTGCCGTCCTCCCATCCGTTTCTTTGACCTTGGCCAGGAGGGCTAACTCGAGCGGCTTTTGATCGAAGATACGAAGTGCTGGGTCGGCCCCCTCGATCAAGCCGTCCAGCTCGCCCGTGGCGTCCGCTCCAGCCCTCAACAGTGCCAGGGCGGCGGAGAACATGCCATCCTCACACGCCATGCTGAGGGCCGTCATGCGCCATGTGTCGATCGTCGTGGGCTGGTTGACATTCACGTCGAACTACGCCAGCTGACCTATGACTGTTTCTGGCGACGGAGACAACAGAGAGTGAATCAGCGGCGTGTCCCCGTTGTTGTCGGCCTCGTTCACTTCCATTCCTTTCTCGTCGACAAGATACGAGATCACTTCGGTGAGCCCGGCGGCTGCGGCTTGATGAAGGGCGTTAATGCCAAACCCGGGAGACTCGAGCCGTGCGCCGCGCCGAAGGAGAATCATAGACGTCTTGGCGTCTCCGCTGAGAAGTGAAAGGAAGACGGGAGTGCGTAGCCGGCAGTCCGGGACCCCGTCGATATCGGCACCGTGGTCAAGGAGAAATGACACAATGTCAGGGTAGCCTTTCGAAGCGGCCAGATACAGGGCCGTAACGAGGAAAGGGCTGTATCGATGGGTCTCGGTCATATACATGGTGGCCGGTCTGTTGTAGTCAGCGCCGGCTCGGCAGGTATGCCGGAGCGTAGCGAGAGCCACCCGCGTATCTGTGCAGTTAGTAATGGTGTTGAAAACGGCCGAGTATTTTTCCGTTTTCACATCGTTTCGGTAAAGCTTAGTGTTGAAGAACGAATGCCAATTGCGCGAGCATCGTGTGAACCTGGACTGGACATGGGGTTCGCTGTGATTGAAGACATGCCACGCCACGTCTAGAGAGATCGGCTCCGGATGAATAGGCTTCATAGCGAGTGACGTCTGTCGTACTGAGCGACACGACGTGACTTGCGACGAAAGCACGGCATAGCAAGAACACGAGGCAGTCACGCTGTTGCTGTAGGCCTGCCGGCCTCATATCCAATACAAGAATTCAGACTTCGTCCCAAGGGACAGCGCTTTACGTCAAAAGCATCTCATACATACACCGCAGATCCGGAGTTGACCATCTCGTTCAAGAAAGGTCTTGAGTTCTGCTATTCAGGCGCAATGGTGCTTCCTTTGGCTGTGAAGAAGGCATCTCGCTCATCCTCTAGGTGGACAGTACTGTTCTTCGCGAGCGGTCTCTGGCTTTTCTGGACACAAGTTAAAGACATCTTCAGGATATCGGGCTATTCAAAATGGTTCTTATGGCTCCGGCCTGGGTGGACGAAGATATTACGCGTACAAGTGTTCTTCACGTGGGCTTTGGACGTCTAGCCCTCACAAGACCGATGGAGCCCAAATAGGCCTTCACCATGCCTCGTATATCATCAGTATCCGGAAATTGTTACTTGGGGACTTAACTGGCTTTCTGCTATGTACCGGCACCTCTAGCAAGTGATTGCACGCTTGAACGCACCACCATATCGCCTCCGCGGGATTCTCCCCGGGCTCACTGCAACAGCCCGCGACGCCTGGGAGCCGTAATGATGCATTCTCAGAAACGTGATCAAGGGTCTCTTTGTACCGAAATGCCTTCCTCTTGTGCAGTCAGCTTCCAACTCTAACCCCCATATCTAGAGGTCGAGATCCAGGAGCTGGGCTGGGAAGCTGCTGCCACTTCCTTGTTGCAGGTCGTTCCTGGCGTCAGAACAAGGATCTCGCTTGACCGCTAGCCCATCTATAGCATCCGCTTTTGGCCCTCACCAGACGTCGGTTCTAGCTATGTATGCTCTCTAGTCACATACCGCTTATGTTACCGGACACCCTGTCTTCCAAGTTCTTATGACTCAAATCTGCGCCATATCCTGCGTTGGAACCGGCGTTGTCCCCGGCCCCACGACAAGGATCCTGCTTTCTTATTACCCTATCTGTAAAGTCTAGATCTGGCCTTTCATAGCCCGAACAGGGCTTCTCCCTACATGTGCAACCTATCTATATGATCCATCAGATATTGTTGAGAAACCCTTTGCGGCTACTGTACAGTAGTCTGCCTAGAAACGCAACCAGGAATTCTTGAATATTTAGGTTGAAAGATGCTGCTCACCTGAGGAGCCTGCTTCGGCTCTCAAAATAGCCTGTCCCAGCCACATAGCAACCCCACATAGCAACCGCCTTGCTTCGCTATGTGGCTTCTTCGCAGGTCTGTTTCTGCTCTCGGTCTATGTTTGCCACGTTGGCATCCGAATGCCTACTTCGACCAGCCTTATGTATCCACGCGGCATGAAGCGAAGGTCACCAGCGACTGGTTTTTTCTGCCCTCCGAATCTTCAACTACATATACCATCATCCACCGTCTGTATGTACTACCGCCTTGCATGGGGCAACTTCACTTGACCTGTCTTTCGGAGCGATCAGACGAGCCGTACGACTGCACGCGGTAGCTTCCATCTCGAGCTCTACTCGCTGGCTTCAGACATTTTGGTCCCAAGAGACACGCTCGACAGGGGGTTTTTGGAGTGACGAGACGCAACACCTACAGTACATTCATTCGCCTAGCACTTTGTGGGTAAGAAGCCGTATGCGCACCTCCGTGACGTGTAGGTCTCAAACATGCCGCAGCCAACATTTGGTGCAAATAAATCATCCACAAGCATCATCATGGGTTCAAAGCTGCATTCGGTATTCTCACCTTTAAGAATCACCCCATCAAGTGATACGCCTCACAGACAGAGGCTTCCACAAGAACATGTGTCGACCTTCCTCCTCTGCGACTCCGACGAGGAGAGCGACAGTATCAAGAAGGAAAAGGGGATTGTTCAAGAGGATTCGCATCAGGGAAGGAGCTTTCCGACCAGCATAGCGTCTCCAGACATCGCGGCTGGTATCAAGACCGCCTGCTCTGCAGCGGCTCGACATCATGAATCAATCAAAAAGAGCGAGGCAATGTCTCCGTATAGAGTAGCACAAGTTTACGGGAAAGCCTCCACAGAACGCTCGCTTCATCTCAGGACAGCCAGCCGCGATGGCGCAATTATCACTAATTCTTTCGAGTGGAATTCGAATGTTCCTTATGCGAGGTCTGCTTCGTGCGGTATCCCCAGACCAGATTCACCAACCATATGAGGGTACCGTGGTAGCTGTAGTTGTATCGCCAGGTCTCCTTATGGTAGACACGCACCGAGGCGCGCCATGAAGAGTAAGACAAAAGCAAGTGGTTGGCGGAAGGCTCTTCTGTGGGCCCGTATATGAGAATACAAACCTCGCGTGAGGATCGCAAACTCGTCGACATGTGAATTTTGACATCAGCAACCTCACGCATGACTGTGGTGACAAGGGGGGATGCTTTGAACCGTTGAATCCTGTCTGGCTTCTCGAAGGCTCATACTCTAGTTCGCTAGGCTCATGATGCATCACATACACACCGAATTATCCGTACCATCCGCGGCGGACATATATATGAATGATGCAGTATTACATAGATCTTCTGGCTAGTCGATCTGTATCTATGTGTCAGCAGGAGCTTATGCGTCGTCTTTTGTGCCTTCCTCTCATCTGTGCTAGTTTCGGGCTGTCACCGTGCGATGCATTGCTTAATTGTATCTTTGAATTATGCAATACAGCACATACAAATGTACATATGTACGCTGTTTGATAAGTCCATTGATCTAAACGGCGGGTGCAAACACCATGAGTGCGGACATGTGAGCTTGGTTACAGTCGCAACCGAAATCGGTTTCCGGTTTTCGATTTTCCAAGTTTTTAAAACCAGAGCTGTTTATGGATTATGTTGCTGACAAAGCAGGAAACATTTAGGCAGCGGTACCTGTCGCGTGGACCTGCGATACTTGGCTGCAATATCCAGAAAGGGCTGCGGCCATTATTCTGCGGATTATTTCGGGCAATACACAGCTTATACTCGTTTATGAAAGAACACAGTGATCCCAAAAGTAGACCCACGGTGAGGACCTGCTTATGCTGCTTCGTTCTACCTATGGTTTGGCAACAAACATCTGGATTATTCACCCTCAGCTGCTTTTGGCTTCTAATTACCGTCAAGGGACCAGCAGCCAAATTTGTAGGTGTGCAGTCTTGAACCGTTCAGAGCTACAAAAGCATCTTTTCAGGTGGTGAAGTCTGAACCTGATGCGTACTTGAGCCGCTTAGTTGTCTGGATGAGAGCCCTAGACAAACGAGCACATTAGAGATCCCCTTCAACATCACCCAACCTTCGCAAAGCGAACTCACTCTGTCAATAGCACACCGACAGCCCTCATATGGCATCAATCACCAGCGAGGATTAAGCGCCTCGGTTAAGCGTCGCTTGCTTTCACATTATGAAAATATTCGCAAAAATGACGAGGAGATCTAGACACTTAGATGCGGATTCACCTAATGTCTGGTGAGGTTGCACTTAGTCGATACTTTGGCTGACGTCATACTGCTGTGCCGTCACCGATGGATCGCCGATGTTTTGCCAACGGCCTTCTTGACAGGTGTCATCCGAACTTCTGAGATCCAACAAAACATTATCAGACGATTAGCACAGACAGTAGCACCCAATCTCGCTACATCGCAGCACGCGCTCATTCGAGACTTGATTATCAATGGAAAATTCACTGATGTTTCTATAGCCAGAGCTGCAGGATGCACCCCGCGTACTATACACAACATCTGGGCTAACCTTGAATGCTTCGGTCACACGAAAGCTCCATCGAACGGGGTCGGACGGCGAAGAAGCATCACTCCACCAATGCTTACTGCTTTGTGCGAACGGCTGATCGAAAAACCTGATTTATATCGAGACGAGATGATCATATTTCTTTCGGACGAGTTTGATACCATAGTGACGGCCTCGAGCATTAGTCGTGCCCTGGCTTCGGCTGGATGGAGCAAGAAGGTGGCCCGTGGCGTTGCTCAAGAGAGGAGTGCGGATCTGCGGGACTTCTATTTTCATGAGCTGTCAGCTTTCCGGTCTTATCATCTCGTGTTTGTAGACGAGTCGGGCTGCGATAAGCGTGCTGGGTTTCGTCGAACCGGGTGGTCGCCGCTTGGCGTAACCCCCGAGCAGGTCGCCCGATTCCATCGCGATCGCCGATACCAGATCTTGCCTGCTTACGCACAAGACGGTGTAGACCACTCGCGTATATTTCAGGGAAGCACGGACAGTGATGTTTTTGGAGAATTCATCGAGGAGCTGCTTCACTTCTGCGGGCGGTGGCCCGAGCCCAAATCTGTGATCATAATGGATAATGCGTCATTCCATCATTCTGAACGGATCGACGAACTGTTTGAAAGAGCCGGAGTTAAGAAGCTTTTGCTGCCGCCCTACTCACCCGACCTCAACCCTATCTGGCAGCGGAGGTTCGATTCCGAGCGCGGTGTCATGGCAACCTCCGCTGAAGATGGAGGCGAAGAAGCTGGCATCACATTAGTGATATTAATTGGCGGGTAATTGCCGAAGGTCGCGGTCTTCGCCTTGGCCTTTCGATGCCTTTCTTCTTCCTGCTGCTCCTCGGCATACAGCTGATCGCGAACATCTTTCTTCAGGCACATCGTTGTGGTTCTCCAACACGCCCCCCTGCTCCACGTATTGTATGAGAGCTCTGAAGTAATGAGACTTCAACTTGTAATGCCTCTTCCCAACCCCATCCCGCCAATAATGGGGTCCAAGGTCACAGGGCGAGCCAGGACATCGCATCAGGCTGTAAACACGCTGCCAGGTAGACGGCTGGCCTGTAGACGACTCTTCAGCATCAAGCAGGACCGCCCGTTGTTGTAGCCGATCCTGCGTGATAGAAGAGAAGCCACGCTTGGTGCCCCGCTTCGCTGTGCTCGACGGCCCGCTTTCCATGTAATTGAACGATATTTTGATTGTGATCGCTCGTCCAGCACGGTAAAGGTGGCTCCGGTTCTTCAGTTGTCTCTCTACAACATTCCAATCTATGTCCAGGTCGTCGAATCGTTTGACTAGGTCACGCTGGGTGCGGTCGCGCACAGATACGACGACGTCAGTATCATCAATCTTGAATGATTTGTTGGAGGGCAGCTTCTTCGTAACCAGCCGGTCAAGCTTGTCTCGAAGGGTTCGTGTCCAAAAGGCATTTGGGGCAAGGACGAGGTCTGGCTCGCTATCTCTGGCAACTAATTTCTTGTTCGCTGTCAATTTCCATTCGATAGTATAGTGGATATAAGTAGGTGGCTGCTCCTCGTAGAGATCGTCTTCATCCCAGTCACTCAGCTGCAGCAAGGGAAGTCTGTCGCCGCCAGGCGGCGTCTGGCTTGGACTACGTGAGGAGACCGTCTGGATGTCCTCACAGTCATCTGCCGCGGGGCTGACAGTTGCACGCTGGCCTCCATTAGGATCAACAGCATCCGAGAACTCGTCCGCTGGATCAAAAGCAGGCCAGTCATAATCGTCGAACGTCAAGTCACCCGTATCGGAGAACTCCATTGCTCCGGCAGGCTGGTGGATGGTCATAGAAATCTCGGATGAATGAAGGCGGGATGGCTGAACACGTGGCTGTTGTTAATTGTGTGGAAAACTTTACAAGGTAGGGGTAATCTTCGCTTGTGGATACGTCCCATTGCTGACGGAACCAATGGGCAGCATTTCACAAGTAAGGGATATCTCCGGAATAATATTAAGCCGTGACAGACCATGTGTACACGTCAATTGACTGCTGACATTGGTTTGTTCGTGAACCACATTTATGTACACCTGAAGGCTGGCTACTCAACATGCCGCTGTGGTTTTGCGACTGGGAATCCTGCCGAAATCCAGCTGTACAACGAGATGGCGATTGTTTGTTATGTCACAAACACTTATGTCGCATCCACCTTCGAGAGCCATGGCATGATTGCCCACGCGCAGAGGTCTGAATCAGGAAACTACGAGTCGACCATACTGACACCGCTAACGAACTATGCGGTAGGAAAATTGGGAGGGTTTCTCCCTTCAGTACGCTGCAGCAGAAAATCATGACATAGATCAGCTGTGTCGGAAGATCGATGTCTCGAAGCTACGTTCCCGCGCGTCGATGATTAGAAACGGCATTCCTTGCACGATTGACCTATCAACCAAGCAGCTGTCTGCTATGATGGGCAACCAGAATTGCCACGCCGAGATCGCCTTCGAAGATGGCGTCGTATGGATTGCCCGTTTTCGTCTCACCAAAACGACGTCTCCACCGCAGGAAGTCCGAGACTTCATCGTTCGAAGCGAAGCCGCAACGATGAGCTACCTTTGTGAAAACACTAGCCTACCGGTACCCCGCATTTACGATTGGTCCGACGAATCCAATCCAGAAAACGACATTGGGGTCAGCTTTATTCTCATGGAAAAACTTGACGGACGGCCTCTCGATTGGAGGGCAGCGACTCCGGCCCAGAGGGAGAAGATTCTGCAGCAAATTGCAGACATCTATATCGAAATCGAAAAACACCCCTTCGAATCTATGGGCTCACTTGTTGCATCACCACGGAATCCTCACCACCTAGAGGTACAAGGGCTTGCGCAACACACAACATACCAATTGGAAGCTGGCCACGCTCTCGGTCCTTTCTCTACTCCTGCAGACGGTTCCGCCGCCATCATCGAGGTATATCTCAGCATGATAGCCAGCGGGGAACTCATTGCCTCTCGCCCGATAGACGCCTATCTTACGCATCGTTTCCGCTTAGATGTTATCGACCGTCTTTGGACAGGCTCTACAGCAGAGAATCGATTTTTCTTGAAGCACCCTGACGACAAGGGCGACCACATCCTCGTGAACGATGACTTTGCTATTGTCGGAATCATAGACTGGGAATGGACAAAGACGGTCTCTCGTGCGGAGGCCTTTTGCTCCCCGTCGATGATGTGGCCGATTTCCAAGTTTTACGCAGGCTCTAACGAGCTAGCCCAGGATGAACTAAGACTTGCTGAAGTCTTCCGCGAAAGAGGTCGGGAAGATCTATCTGATAACATTCTGACAGGCAGGAAGGTCCAAAGATTCTTTTTCGCCATGGGATCTGAAAGTCCTTCAGATATGTCCAATTTTACGTCCCTTTTTGCGGGACTTACAGGAGCCTTCGACTATGAGCACGAAGAGTGGGAGCGGTGGAGAAAAGACGCCCTCAATAGATGGAGAGACGACAACCATCTGCAAAATTTGGTACAACAAGACCGCGGGAAGGAAGTTTGATAGTATAAGTAGGCGAATCGCCCAGAATTAAGCACAAGATGACAGGCATATGATGACTTAAACCATCGAGGAATGCATTTGATGATTCGAGATCACCTGTTGCATAGACTCGACGGCTATACATTCCCGAGTCACCGCGTCGTTCTTTTGGATTCTCTCCTCATCATGCAACCATGTTAGATACATTTACCAGTCCGACAATTGATTTGTGAAATGGATGTGCAATTTCCCTCGAAATCAACTGGACAATCAGCTCGATTCTGTGAACCGGATGGTTTGTCTGTCATTGATTGGGTCAGAAAACACCATGCAGGTCGACGCGCGGCGTAGGAAGAACCCACGTGTAGCACAGAAGCGGCCACCGCTCAAAGCCCAAGCATCACACCCTTCTTTAGCACATTTTTCAGCCATGTTTCCTGCGAGCTGCGGGCTGCGATGTTGATCGAGGTTTGTGAATTGGATTTGGTTGTGATGCTGCGGACAAAATCTTTGAGGTCTAGATAGAATTAGGGATCGGAGGGGATGATGAGACTTGTCGATTCTTATATACTTGAAGGTCAACAACAGCAGTCTCCTAGTCTGTACGCTATTGGCGGCAAATTATGCCATCCGGTGCAAGAAAGGCCAACCGAGAGCACATCTGCTGCAAGCTGTGGACAAATCGAAATGATCTCCATACCTCCCTCATGCAGGGAAGATTTAGATAGGTAAGCCGAGTCTGAGGTATCTTCTCAACCCTTAGGCATGGCGAAACGAACGTCACGCGCAGTATGCTATCAGTTGCCTGGCGTCCTAATGCGGATGTGCATGCATGTTATCGCCGGGCCCAGACCCAATCTCCAACGCTTTGTGTCGGGTAGCTCTGTTCATGTCCTGAATGATTGTGCGTGAGGGAAAGCCCAGAAGGGGAAGACCTACTGGGATAGGCTGGCCAAGGCTAGCCCGGCTACAAACGGGGGCGGAGCGGCCATACGATGCCCCGAGGGGGCCGGGGACCCCGGCTCGTCTCGCAGATTGATACATTTAATTCTACGCGAATTCAGCCGCTCTTGAAGCCAGCAGCTATGCCCGGATAGCAAAGTTAAGCCGACAGCCGACACGTCCACGACAAGTCGCAATGCCTCACCTTGTCGGAATACTGCCATGCTCACCGCCCAGCCTATACGCGGCAGAGTCCAGCCAATGAGAGGGCAGAGATCTCTCTGGCCCTCAACGCCATATCATGTCTCTCACTGCCGCATCTACAACTTCATTGTACCATGCATTTCTTATCCACACTTACTGACCGTATACGTTAACTAGTCAATTGCATTACGACCCTACCTGTACCAACTTTCATACTTGTGAGCACCGTCATTCTTCTCCACGACCAATTTTCCCGACCTCTTCATTACTGTGCTTTGATAAACATGTGTATACACACATATATGTATGTGGCAGCAAGCGAAGCTCGGGTGAGGCGCACAGAGTCAATTGTTGATCGCTTCCTGAAGGGCAATCGATGTACCTCTCTCCTGGTAGAGTGAGTTCGCTCTGCGAAGTTGGATTCCTGTCGAAAGGAATCTCTGATATATACTGATTTTGCCAGGGCCAAATCGAGAGAACCAAGCAGCTCAAGTTCGCGTACATAAGAGTCAGAATTCACCGGTCGACAAGACATCTCTGGAGCTTGGAAGAGTCGAAGATTGCTCAAGTACCGATTTGGCTGCGGGCTTGTCAACGGTAATCAGAAGCCAAAAGCAGCTTAGGGTGAATAATCGACATGTTTGTTGCTGTGAGCCACGGAACGAAGCAGCATAAGCAGGTCCTCACTGTAGCTCTGCTTTTGGGGCTACTATATCCTTTTATAAAGGAACGTATAAACTATACACTGCTCAAAATAATCCGCAGAACTATGACCGCGCCTATTTCTAGATCTTATAGCCAAATATCGCAGGTCCACGCGACAGGTACCGCTGCCAAGATGTTTTCTACTTCGTCAGCGACATAATCCATTAACAGCTCTTATTTTACAAACTTGCAAAATCGAAAACCGGAAACCGATTTCGGTCGCAACTGTAGCAATGTCAGCAGCCGTGTAATTCACATCAGACGACAAAAAGTCCGAGTTATGCCCCTTCCGCTTTCGTCGCCGGCTCCAATCAAAATCCCTCTTGCGTCCAAATGATGGGCAAGCTTCCTTGCGTCGTATGGTCAGAGTCGAAAAGCTCAACATTGTGCTGCTTCTCGTGGAGTCTTTTGTCTACGCTCTGCCTGTTCATCAGCAGAGTGCGTATAACTGTCTGGCACATGCAATTGGTCCTAAGCCAACGGTTCTGGCTTCCTGTTATATCTCTCGGATAGCTGTCGGATCCCGTCATTCGGGCTACCCGCGTCCAAACCCACGTGCTAACATCCGTTAGTGGTGACTCCACGTTCTTCCCGATAGCAGATGCATCAAAAGCCGATTTTGGCTGCCCTTACAAAAAAGCTGCGACAAAGTTTAGGCAACTAGCAATCAAAGAATAGACTCAGATGCGGCTCCACTGCCACTTAGTGCCTCACGCGGTCGTGCGGCATGCTTGCTTGAAAAGGGATGCATTGGGCAGAGTAGAACGATAAGATGATGATGATTCAGACTCATTTTTACTTTATGGTACAGTACATCAACAATACAGTACTGTCGCAGTTCGTACCCAACCAATCATGGCTTCTCGTCGTCAGCAGCCAAAGAAAAGGGATAGAACCAACGAGAACTGCGATAAAACGGTCAAAAACATCATGTGGCGTTGTGAGCAGATTCGACGACGGTACGGGGCCGACGTGTACGTCCAAGTCCGCTTCAAAAGCAGGTTCCATGAATACACGTCTTCCAATGAGCACAACTTCCCCAAATCTCGCGCTGAGTTGGTAAGTTCAATCACGTCATAGCTCTTCAAGGCTACCTCTAAGGCTTAGGTTTGGAAGAAAACGATCTACCCGGTTCCGGTGACAAGATCGCCACTGGACTATGCGGAAAGAAGATCTCGAAGCGACGTCAAAGGTCAATCTGGCGTAGATAGCGGTTGAGTGCGACAATGTAGCTGTTAGGCGGAGGATCGTAGTTGCGATGATGCCCATTTTACCTGTACATCTACTGTATTGCCCGAATTGCTGCGTATACTTGGTGTGTCGCTCTCCTCATGTCCCCTAATCCTTGCCGTCTCTTTGGAAAAGCCAGTGCGCAATGTACTTACTGCACTTCAAATTGACCTATTGCTTTTTGTTGGTTTCATACAGCTTCGCGGTTGATAAGAAGACGTAAATGGAAACCCGGTCGCTCATTCATTAGCCGAGACATACTAGCAATTGATCAACCCGAGTCTTCAGCTATGTCTGTATGAATTATGTGATCATGGTGATCTTGAAGTCCTCGGAGACAATGTACATAGTTCAATCCGAAAAAGTCTCTACATTCACTCAATACCAGAAAGGCGCTGACGGATATAAGTCGGCAAAACAGCATGATGTGGTTACGTGAGACCAGCGAGGCATATGGCTCGTGCGTCAACAGCCCTCCCTCTGCACGCAATGACACAACAACATCCGGTTTGCGCTACAGGGCCCTAAACACTTTATTACCACTATCCACCCTTCGGAAGACTGAATGCACACCTTACCAACCACATCAATCAAAGACATCATGAGCCGAACAAGAAATGCCGAGGAGTTGGCCAAGCTTCTGCAGAAGAACGTGCTGACAGAGAACAAGAACGCGCCGAGGCGGCAGAGCAACAAACCCAGCCTACTTCACTCCACGAATACATCCCTGCCTGTCAATCCTTGGCTTCTGCCAAACTCACCGTCGAAACAGACCGTAGACTGACCTCCAAGGGCTCCATCACAAATCCGCGAAACAGGTTGTGTCCCACCAATCTCCGCCCATAGCTCGACTTCGCACCAACAGAGCATCGCCTTCGGCACCCCCTACTACATTCCCCTGCCGACCGACGCTGTTTCGAGAGCACATCGTTCCTGTCCGGCCGAGGAAGCAGGATCACGAAGCGCAAGACCACTGACGAGAAGGCCGTCGAGTGCTTTCTGCAATATAGCGTCGAGGGCCCCGTTCAAACAATCATGGACGAGCTCAAGAAGGCAAAAGAAGTCCAAAGAGCGTTCGATTTAGTCAACGGACTCGTCTTCGACACCTCCCTCCACAACGCACAATAGCAAGTCGATCTCCAACAGTTACGGGCCGTTAGATCTGCGTCTGCCGAATCGAAGACGAAGACGACTCGAGCAGCTCTTCGATGCTCTACATCCGAGTATACATCACCGCGTCGACTTCCTACGCAGCACCTGTGCTCGATGAATACACACGAGGAAGTGGTAGACCGGACGACAATACCAACATCAGTTGAACCAGACGCGCGGTTTCAGTATCACGCGGAGAGGCTCACCGCAGCCGCCATCACACACAGACCTGTCACTATATGATCGAAGGCTGGCTCGAGCACGGCCTATTTATGACGGGTGAGGCGATCGTGTTCGTGAGGCTTGACTGGCGCGAGCCCGAGACGCTTTCCTTTCATTTGGCGGAGCCTTCTGCAGAGGTGGAAGCCTGCCTCAAGCATGCCGACCTCCGTACGGCAGTTGCTCAATACTTGGCCTTTAGTTTGATTGCTCTCGGCGTACCAGGTGAGAGGCATGAATGCCGTCATCCCCCATAGCATGAGCAACCCAGCACAATTTTACGGTACGAAACGCCCCCTCCCGCAAACAGCCGGAATACAAGCGTGGATCTTTGGGCGAGTACTGGCAAGGCTCGACATCACTTCCTAGAATGCAGGTAGATGGCTTTAAATTCCTGAAGGTGCAAGTGAACCGCTGTCTTACAAACCGCTCCCTGTCAACTCCAGAGCTCGCCCTTCAATTTTTCCGGAACAGCCTCTTTCGCAACACATGAAGGGTACACTTTAATATTTGACGTCTCTGTGGCTTTCTCATGGATCGCAATGCAAAACTTGCCTCCGCTCTCTCGGACGGCCTCGCGTAGTTGTGCCAAGACCGCAGCCAACTTGCAAAGGTCGAGTTGGTGCGTTTCCTCCCAACCCTCAAACTGAGCTGCCGTGTCGGTGATTCTCAGCTTTTCAAAGGTTCCATTTGTGTGCTGTCCGAGGATAAGCCAGGGCGTTCTGCCGAACCAAAGCTGCGGCATGTATGCCCCCGAGCTCTTGCGCCTGGCTGCTGTCTTGATTTCTGCGGCATTCGCTTGAGCCATCGGCGCTCGTTGTGTTGGCTGTTGGCTGGCAGAAGCATTTCTTCCTTGGCTAACATCGGTCTGCAATCGACTCATTGCGCGTGCCAACGATTGTGAAGTACCGCCCTCCTCGACCTTCCGCTGGTAGCATGCATCTACCTCAAGACGCACGACACACGTGAGATCTCCCAGCTGGTATCGAAGAGCCCGGTGATGCGCCGTGCTGTCTTCTAGCCCAGGCGGGTATCGAGTGAGGGTGCGCTCGAAATTCCTGCCCCACCCAGAATTCTGTGAACCGCCGATCAGCTTGCTGACGGTCTTCTCGCAACGCTCGATAATCAGGGTGCGGTGAACCAGGAACAGATTGATTCGAAAGCTGTCTTGTCGCCGCCCTCGGCAGAAGTCGAGAAGCTTTCTGAGACTATTTCGATTCACCAAGATGTCGACTTCGTCAAAGCGGAATGACGGGTTCATCGATGCTGTGGCGCGAAACAGCGGCTCAAAGGAGCATTCAGGAATACGCGCCGTGCTGTCATTCATCGAGCGCGTAGCCTGGTCTTCAGGCACCGTAATTGGTAAGGAAACCTCCTGCAAGACCGCCGCAAAGCCTACTGATAGTCAGTCATGTAGTATTGTCCCCAGGTACTTGAGGCCCACCGGGTATGTGAATCTTCAGATCCTGGCTAGCTTTCCAATTATAGCTACAAACCAGCTCCTAACCTGTTGCGCTGGATACCATGGAGTCCGATGGCTCCACAGGATGCTTGACACAGTGAATCACCCGGCTGTCCATCACGGTCTCCCACATCCACGCGTTACGCCCAGGGGAAGTGGGATCCGGGTGGCATTTCCCCGTCTCTCCTTTCCGTGGGTGTTCGTTCTTACCCATCTGATGGTAACCCGGATCTGTGGGCAGAAAAGACTGCGGTCTGCTGGGTGAAAACTACACCGTGCGCGATAACAATGCAGCTGGAGTTGTGATCCAGGTGTGGTGAGGATGGACATCGTATGTGAAAGATCTGAGGATGGCAGCGTGAAACGAACGGTCGCCGCCCAACTTTAGGCGTTGCTGCTTTGGATGCCAGGAGTCGGCACTCAAATTGTCTAGTTCGCTGGCGTCATCTTGCTTTGAAATTGGGCCCGTGAGGCCGGCCTCCTGCGGCACCCTGCAGCACAGTGAGAGGCCAACGTACAGCATGCCACCAGCGTCATTTCCAATGGATTTTAATGCTGGGTAAAGCAGGCTTGGGCATGCAAAGCGCCTTGGAAGAGCACGTCCCTCCGCTCTATTGGTATCTAGTCCCTAATTCAGATGCCTTTAGGTTCCATCGTCGTTCGGTAGATGCATTCTTGCCAAAGCCTCATCCCGGCACATAAAAAAGCATTTATCAAGGTCGGTATACTTCATACGCAGATGCTGGTGGAGTAGACACGAGCAAATTGAGACACCAGTGATCAGTAAGCAAAGCACCGTAAACGCTACATCGTGCCTTGACACAGTTGCTCAGTCAGCTGGGACCATTCGGCAAACAGCGATGGTCAGGTTTGGTCGAAATGCCTTGATATACGTGTCCTGTCGCTATCCCACCGGGTGCGGATGGACCCCATTTTCGCCAAGGGCGGGGTAACCCAATGAGATTCATTGCCTGGAAATATTTAGAAATATTTGCCCAATCAGATGCTTATATATGGGCGTTTTTGGAGTAAAAATGGGTAATTCTGGTCTTGGCGAAAATGGGGTCCATCCGCACCCGATGAGATAGGGCGGGTGTTGATTCTGTGTCCGGCTAACAATACTCGTTCGTGCATATGGTTAAAACAATTCTGCCGCCGTTCTGCCTCGTCGGATTGGTGGAGGCAACAATCCAAGGCCAAGTAGACTTCATGCTAGATGTGGTCCGTTGCTGTGATCATGACGGAATTAGCAGAGGGCTCCGCCTGGGACTTACGATGGTTGTATGGGCAAGTTGAACTCCTGGCCATGTATTTGCGGGCAGTGACCCACTGGCCTGGGCAACTCGACTGGCTGACCAGCCTGTTGAGGTCGGGGTACCTCTGCTTAGATAATCGACCAAATGCGCCACAGATACTTGACGGGGGTTTTTACTTTGGCCTGATACCATAGTAGTCAATTGGCACGAGGGACGCGAATGGAGCCAATGAGCCACTGAGACAACGTTGTGAAGAAGAACAGAGCCTGCGTTTGGCCGCATCGGCCGAAATAAGGATCACGGATATATGATAAACGACCTAAACAGAGAAACGTCTCCTCAAACGGATGGAAGGCGGGCGGGCAGAAAAGCACGGCTGAGAGCGGCAGAAAATCAATGTCAGGGGAACAGAATCCGGAATTGGGAAGGCGGATAGATTCAGACGGCCGGCAGAAAAACGCGGCAGAATCCAAAGAAAGAACGGCAGAAAGAACAGCTCGAGATGGCAGAATAAAGCCGGGGCAGCAGAATGCATCGAAGCTCGCTGATAGGTGCAGTAACCCATGCAGATAACAGGATCAAACTGGGTATGGCAGAAACGCTGAATTGGGAATCAGATCCGCGAGGACGGCAGAAAAATATGTAAGTGTAATTTCCAGGTCTATAAAGCGGGGCAACTGCTTTAGGAACGGCAGAATTATTATGGGGCGGCAGAAACTGAGCGCCCATGAAACTTGAGAGAGCCCTGTTCCCGTCACCGAGAATGCAACCTTCGATAATGCGGAGTGATCGCGATGACGGGAGAAGTATAATTCCTCACAACACGGATACACATCGATGGCGCCTTGACCCCTTACATGCGCGTCGCATTTGGTGAGCTTCTCATCACCGACACAATCAGCGCACTGGGCCTGATGAAAGACAGGTGGTATGACCTTAGGTTGAGGTCGAGATTGTTGTTGCTATCGAGACTGAAGAAAATTTCGCTCTTCGACAGCATTACCGGTCTCCACTCTTTCTCAGCCCGGGCGTTCTTCCTGCAACTGTGCCTCATCTTGCTCCGTCGTTGGGATTCGTGGTCTCTTTCGTTTAGGAAGGCAAAGATCGTCGCTCTTATGACCATCTTCGCTTGCCTCGTGACCTGGTTTTCTCCGACTGGTGATGGTGTCACCACCTTGCTGTGAGACGGAGGCGTCGCAAAAATGGCTGGTTGACACTCTTCCGCTCTGTCCAGTTGGAAACAGGACTTGGTGCGTATAGTGGGCTATTCGCGGGGTCAGGCGCCGCCGAGTTGCTTGTTGAGAAGGTCCCCGGCCAGTGTCGATCCGTAAATTGAGGTCCCCAAGTCGCTCCGTCCGGAGAGCAGCACCAACTTTAGTGGGCGAATAGAGTCGAATACCCATCCAGGCACGAATAGGCTTAGTCAGGTCCCTGGCACATGAGCTGGCACGTGGCTGGCTACATGGCCAACCGGGGCTCCGCTCCGGGTGTCAATTGTTGCTCTACGTATTGTCTACAATAATCATTCTTCAAGTTGCTTGCTAAAAATTCTGTTCTCGCTACCGCACATGATTCTCGAGCAGTGAATTGCAGTGAGCGCTCGGAGGTGGAATCCGGGCTTCAGCCTGGATCCACTAATCGGGTCCAGCCCGCAACAGCTAGTTCCACTTCGGCAAAGGACACAAAGTCTCAACAGAGGCAAGCGCGTGGAGCTCGCGGGAAACATGCTTGAGGCGCTTAGTGTCGATACCGGTGGGACATCATTCAAATGTACACGGCGATTATCTCGGATCGAGTTCGGTCAGGGCGCGCGTAAGGAGAAACTGGAGCCCGGATCATGCCGAACGTGTAGTTAACTATGGAGGCACTGACCCTATCGGCTTCACCCTTTGAGCCATGACAGGCGCCGAGCGTTTCGGACCGGTACCTATGACTTAATTTCCCCCCGAATACATATCTGTTCAGAAGGCGATCATGCGTCCAGGATCAAAGATTCGCGCCGCAATCTCCTGGACAGCCTCGAAGGTCATGAAATTGCAGCTCCCACTCTGCAAATGCTCCGTGACGGCTGCTAATGTGCTAAACTCCCTGGGACAGCCGCGTTTCGGACAGTGGTAGAGGCTCTGCTGATGTTTAGGCGATTTGAGGTGTTGATTCAATGACTCGAGGCTTGCAAAGCGACCGCTGCACTCTTGTCGAAGCTTGTCGTCAACATACCTTCGACAATACAAGAGAGTGAGAGATAGGTGGTTAAGTTAAGAAGGCTGGGTGCAGTTGGCGACAGCCACTATATGTGCGGGGCTGTTGGAGATTAACAATAACAATGGCGACTTTTAGTGAGAGGGGTAGCGATGGGCGAAGGTTGACCGCTCGGCGACCGATGCACTCCTGACCCGCAGCACAGCTATGGTGCTGCGATTGGTGAAGCAAATACTTGAGTTGCAGCGGCCTTTTCTCCAGCTACGCTAGACTACGCCCTCTAACAACTCCGACACCGGCGTCTAACAATCAGGACCAATGGGCCGGCACACGGTGAAGTAGTCTTTCCGGGAGTCCATCGTTTAGCCCGTGCTCCATCCGGGAATAGAGAGCACCGCGTAATTGACAATTGGCCATAAAACTCGAGCGGATCACACCCTTGGCGAAATAGCTGGTCTTGAACTACGTATCTGATAACGGGTCCAGGCAGCAAAAGATGAGCCCTGTGATTGAGAGACTCCTGGCGCCCTTCAGGGTAATCGCTCTGTACCTTACACACCACCATCGAAACGATTCAATTAAACAGCATTAGCCATGCACAGCGATGGCATGTTCTAGCTGCATCTTGAAACATTGAATGGTCCGTGCACGGGGGCGCCTCCTCCTGATTGACACGGGACTTCAACAGCGAATTCCGAATCATTGAGTTCGCTTGTCCCGTCGCTGGACTTGGTTGGTTTTACTTTAAGCGCCTGCCGGACGCAAACCACAGCTCTGCCCACTGTCGTTGGGGAGGTGTTGGCGGCGGTGGCTGGCTGGCTACCGGCCGACCGACCGACCGACCGATCTTCGCCCAGACGGCTAGCAGCCACTGCCGAGCTGGATCGATCCAGTGCCATCAGACACAACGCGAGGGCAGCGCCACTACGTCAAGGAAATAAGGAACGTCCGCCACGGCACCAGGACCTGGAGCCGGCAGTGCTGTCGGCCGGTGACGTAGTCAAGGTTGTGTGGCCGGCCTTCCTCGCCACCAGTCTCGAGTGCCCTGTCGACGAGGAAGAAGGCACATCGGATCTCATCCATCAATATTGTGCTTACGCATGCAGATATGAAGTGTCTGTGGTTGTGATGCCTTCGCGAGTTCTTCAGCCTCCTCACGTCGGCGTTGTTCTTCCTCTCGTCGGCGCTGTTCTTCTTCACGTAGGCGCTGTTCTTCCTCGCGTAGGCGCTGCTCTTCCTTGCGACAACGCTGCTCTTCCTGGAGCTGTTCTCGTAGTTTTGCGATTTCATCTTCCATTGCGACTCGGGAGATGTGTGACAGAAACAAAGTGATCAATGAAACCAACCCTTGAGTCTCGACAACCTGAAAATGTTTGAATGTATTTCGTCACGTTTAATCCAGGTCGCCCCGACAACAATCGCGCCACAAACTCAAAGTCACGTGATAAAGATACGGCAAGCCGACTAAACCTGTCCCTTATCTTCGGATAGTGGTCTTCGGACAGTGGTATGGGACAGTGGTATGACAGCGTTCTGTCTCGGCGAGCTTCAGCATAGGTCACTAGCAAGGCGTCCGGATGTGACAAAACCCGAGTGGTTTACGGGTAAGAGTCACCAAAGCCTCCGGGCCGCAGAAGCGCCCACTCGCTTCGAGGTCCCCATGGACGGGATGCTTCGGCATGGGTTAATGGTAAGGCACCCGGGTGTGGAACCTTCCAATAGTAGCATGGCCGGGCTGGGCGCTTCGGGGGTCTGCAGACGGGACATCGTGTTCCGCATCCGTGCCACCTACCAGTAACAATCGCCAAAACATCCGTCTGCAGCGCAGCCAAAGCGCCCATACCAGCTATCAAAAAGCTTCTCGCCTGTTACTAGTAAATTGAACCCGACCAACCTGCCGCCCGCCGGCGGATTGCTCCAGCTCAATCGGCGCTTGTTGTGCTGCTGTCAAAGGGGCTCTGTCCTCGGTGCCCCTTCAAAGTGGTTCAGATGTTAGGATCAAGAATTAGCATCGTGTCGCGTTGAAGACACGGGACAGAGATGTGAGGGGCAGTTCTGTATGTCTATCTATGCGTCAACAGTACATACTCTGGGTGATCTAATTTAAGCCTGCCCTTCTGTCCCTTTAGCCATCCGTCTACGCTTTACCTTCTTTGATCGTCTTTGCATGACCTGGCCTGATGTCCTGAGCGAAACGCCATGGGAGGTCTGTACATGCCGTCTGAACACATCTAATGTCGCAAAATTTGGGTCATCCTGGCATTGAGGATGGTTGCACCGAATGGAATCGCCACGTTGTACAGGACGCTCTCGTTCTACCAGATGCTGGTCGTCAAAGTGGTCATTTCTGACCGTTGGCCGGCAGTACTTGAACGTCCGTTCTTCTAATGAAAGCCTGCAATCCCCAACACAATCAGGGCACTGATTCGGATCAAGGAGAAGTGGGAAGGGCTTGGATTGAGGAGTCTCTTCGATGGGTGGCTTGGGTTGAGGATGGGTGCGGATGCGGTCTCGTCTGACCGTCTCTCTCTTGTCACAAAGTGTGACCATCAGATCGATAGCCTCAATCCAAAGCTCCATGAGTTTGTCGTGAGAGCAGTCGGCTGGTTGGTGGCAGAGGATGTGGGCCAGTCTGGTGCGCTCGGGAATCTGGAGGTCGATTTCCGGTTCAGTATACTCCTCCTCTTCTTCGCCATTCGCTTGCCTCTCAATATCCCATGTCGGGCGGTTGTAGAAATGATATTCGCGATACTCCTTAACGACACTCTTGTCGCGTTGGTCCCGCTTCATGCGTATCTCCTCGGTTAGCCTGCGGATTTCGGCTTCCTTCTCTTCACCTTGCACTCGGTATTGACCACCCTTCAACTTCTGTCGCCGTTGCTCCAGCTCCAGAATTTCCGGATCGGGAGGCAAGTTCTCCCAGACCTCCTTGGGGACCATGTCTCTTGTTGCCCGGGGATCGCGCGTGAGGCTGACATGCGCAAACACCTTATACATCTGCTCCTCGGTTTCCTCTTCTAGGAAAGTATTCTGGAGGTCGAATTGGACGTTCTCGTTGAGGTATGCGCCTTGGAACGTGGCAAACTTGGGATCGTGGCGCATCATCTGGTCGCGCACGGCATCAGACGCATTTCCTGGGGTCGAAGCTTTTAGTATTTGAAGTCCTCACAAATGCTGCTCACCCCGACCTACCATTTGCTGCATTTGCCGCCCCTCTTCTGGCGAACCGTGGCGTCCAGGCCTTCTCGAAACCTGCATCAAGGCTCTGCCGGCCCATGTCGTCTCGTAATTTGGAATAGCTCATGGCCTCGTCGACGGCCAACGCACCACCGCTGAGTTTTCGAAAAACCGGAACCTTGAGCATTGACTGCTTCCACCGTAAAGCTGTAGACTGGACTGGACCCCTGACTTCTGCTCTTAGTACCTGGGTTGCATCTGTCAGGCTTGCTGCGTCGAAAGCCTGGTCATGGAGCGCTAGAGCGATGATGGTGCTGACGGCACAGAAGATGAGCCTTCTTGCAGGCGTAAAGAAAAAGACAGTCCTGTCCATACTCAGCATTAAAAGCACCAAAAGGGGTTGAAGCCGCGGCTCTACGTATACTCACGGCCTTGGCTTGTTGTCAGCTCCTTTGTGGTGGATGAACTTGACGGCCATCGCCGGTACGGCTCGTCCCGTCACTGGATGGCGAACAATCATCATGAGTATGTCCTCGTAGCACAAGGCTTTCGGACGCCCCCGCCCAGCTGTTTCCTGTATCAGTAGTCTGTCGAGGAGAAGGGAGTCTTTGTCTTGTGGTGGTTGGCCATCATAGTCCACGTTCTCTGTGTCTTTGCCGCACTCATGATCAAGAGACTTGACGCCTTGGAGCTTGAAAATCTCGTCCGTGCATCCGTCTTTGGGCTTTTTTCTGTCGGCATGCACGACCTCGGCAGGTCGCGCACCAGTGTAGCAGAGGAGCTGGTAACAACCAGCCAGCTGAGTACGCTGCCGCTCTGACGGGAAGATACCAGTATCATACGCAATGTTGAATGTCAAGATGGCCAGTAGGTTATCGGCTCCGAGGACTGGCTTTCCGTTGATGTTAGGTGCCCGGTATCCGAAGCGGGGAATCAGGATCGTGTGGTGGAACTAGCCCAGCCCATGTTAGCATCATTGTGGAACTGTCGACTGCCGCAATTGGTACATACCTTGTAGAGCTCTTTCGCATCATTCCTGTCCATGTAGCGACCGGCGACGGTGGTGTATAGTTGCTGAAACTGCCGGATGTATACCTGCGTCGTGCCCCATGATTTGATTTTCCCTATCGACCACTCGCTGATCCGAAGAAAGAAGCTCATCATTGTCTCGCGAGTTACGTTTTGCAAGGCCGTTTGCCATTCACCGAGGTTCTGCTCTTCACAATAACTGTTGTTGTAGAGGTCAGTCAACAAGAAAACAAGCCTGGGATTCTCGCAGCGAACCGTTTCCATTTCCTGCATACGACCGCGATATTGATCTCGGTTTCGTCTGCATATTTTGGCTTGATGAAGTTGACGTTCTTTAGCTGCTTGCGTAGGTCGGCGTGCTCCTCGGCCGAGAACGGCTTTGGCTGGTTCGCGATCCGACGTTGTGTTTCTTGGTCGGTAAACCGCTTCAAAAAGTCCACGGTTGCTTTGGTTTGTCGAGGGCGACAATCGGGGAGCATCGACTGGGGCATGGCTGGGAGATGGTCGCTCGTCGCAGCGACAGAAGAGGAGTCGTGAGAGTGTACTGAGGCGGAAGAAGACAACAGAAGACGGCAGGCACGATGCCGCTCTTTATGGCGGGCGGCACCATTGCGTAAAGCAGAACCTGAGCAGCCTGAGCAGCCAGAAATCGCTCCAACGGATGCCAGAAAGTGAGGGAGTTGGCAAGAGCAAACTGGTGGTCGCATAACCGACGGGCAGGGTAGAAGGAGATGGAAGGCGCTTGGACAAAAATAGCACGGTGGGGCGCACTGCCATGACCAGGCTGCGGGCGTTGGAGGCAGCAGGACGAAGTATTTAATACCTGGCAGTGTCCGCCCCTAGCCCTGTTCTCTCTCACTGCTTGTGCCGCATAGAACGGCGGCACTTCCCACCTGATTCGGCGGCCCTAGCAGCGACTTCTCGCTTTTAGGAGTAATAATAAGGATTGTTTCCTTTAAGAGTCGTTCTTTCTCTTATAGTTACGAAAGTCGGTCGTTATTAGTACGGTTATAGCCTAAGGGAGGGGGAAAGGAGGGGTTAATATCTTTATTATAATCATTATTGTCGGAACGGCAAGGCTGATAAGGAGCAATGGGCAGGTATCGTGGGCTGGCTAGCGCCTGCCCTGGGCGAAGTGGGACAACTGGCTTAGTCACCACGGCCGGTTAAGGTGGGGCAACCACCCAGGCCGTTACCACCTACTTCGACCGACCCCTGCCCACAATGTAAAATAGGAAGGAACAAGAACAACAACAGCAATTATCACGGACATCGACGTGATTGTTGCCGAAGATACACCCTAATGAGGAAATGTATCACGCCTGTGATACCAACAATTATATTCGTTATCTTTTATCTAAGCGGTGCTCCTCTTATTTTATTACGTCTTACGGCCTATAAAGCTACGACCTAGTCCTACTAGCTAAACTTAAGGGGGTTTTAGGAAGTTAGAAAATAGTATCTCTTCTCTATATTATCGTCGTGCTAACTATGCTCTCTCGCTACGTCTTGTTTAGGCTGGCATTTTGAGCTTCCGGCCTGGTCCCCTTCGTAGGTAGAGATTTTAGACTATTAAGTTGAGTATTGACGCAGGGTGGAAGCTCTCAAAGGCCAACTATAGTTAGGGGTAGAATAATAAATTACTGAAATCTACTCCTCCCTCGACGTGTACTTCCTGCGCTGTATATATATCTGAGCTACTCCTTTGTTGCTTGGACTCCTTACTACCTCTACTAGCCCCTATCCGGGAGGGCTCTGACATCTAGGCTATTGCAGTGCTGGTAAACACATTAAGTAAAGAGCATGAGCACCATTAGCTGAAGAAAGTATGGTACTTCATCATGTTTCGTGATGGATTCGATCCAGAATTGAGTAACAACAGTCGTATACTTGCTCGGGACCAGTATCCCGTATAAGGCTGTAGCCGCTCTGCCCGAGCGCCAGCAAGGCCGTGTATGTTATGTGTGGAGTCATGTGTATTTGACGCAACGGATCTGCATAGTAGGGCGTTAAGGGCTACTCAAATCTATCACAGAATTGACTTCGTGGTTGTGATGATGGCCGAGGTGACTTGTGCGAGCGGCAAACCGTGAATCCCTTGCGAAGAATCGAGTACATTGGCGAATATCGAGGCTCTCTCAATATAATCTATAACGATGACAAGAAACAATCGCCTCTCTATGTTCAAATCAGACTATACAGCCTTCGACACGCTTAGGGTGCATCGAGATGTTATCGACATCCCAGGACTGGTCGAATTCTAGTGACTCATTGTTCGGTCTCCATCACAGACATACCATGCTTTCAATATTTTGACTCTTGCTGATAATCTCATAGACAAATTCGAACACGACTGTTTGCGTTGCCGAGAGCCTGGTTATGCTATCCATGTCTAGGTATCACTCCAGAGAAGAGTCTCCATGTTGTCTTCAACTCCCCACTTGCCATCTAAGATAAAATATTGTACATGCACTGTTCCTCTGTCTTCGCGCCAGTTCGGCAAGTTTAGCATGCCGAGAATACTATAGACAAACTGCTTTGGCTACCTGCATGTACTGATATATCAAGAGTGAGGGGTGGACAAACAATGTTGGACACTCAGGACTAAGGGCCGCATAGGCTCGGGCATCGTCCCGAATGTGGGCTCACCAGTCAACGTTCTGGACCTAAAGCTGCCTTTCGTCTGCACAAGCCCCAAGAAACAGCCGATAACTGCAGCATCAAGTTTCTTGGTCCAAATTTGTTAGTCTTTGTTGCGTGGACACTTGGGGACTTGTGTGTCCGGGGATTGTACACGAATTGATGTCACCTGTCATGATCCGAGTGGGAACTCACTAACACTGAACACCATCCTTGGGCTGACCACAACTCAATGTTCAAGCCTCTCCAGACCAATCCGCTTAAGATCTCATATTCCATCTATCATTTTACATGCCTTGATATCATACTCGAAATGTAGATGATTGCTTATGCGTAGCATCTGAATGACGCTCCAAAGCTTGGGAGCCGGCGTGGTGTAGTGGCATACACCTGGCAAGGCCTCTGGAGCCCAGAGGTCGCTGGTTCGATTCCAGCCGCCGGCAACTGCTTTAATTTAACTACCTGTGGGAAGGGTAGGGCAGAGCCCAATGCGGGGCCTAGGACCCTTTCCGGGCCCTCGCCAGGGTTTTCTCATATCCACACCCTCCGACCAAGAAAAAGTGGATATGCGGCGAGTACACGTCGTCAACCTAGTACTGGGGCAGGAATGGTCTTGTACAAATCAGAACATGTATGAGGGGCCTGTTTCGGCAGGCCGCCCTCTCCAGACATATCCGGCCTTAAGCCGCAAAATTCAAGAATGGAACTGGGGCACCAGCGGGAACCAGGGACAGATAGAACGCATAGTAGCCATAGGCACGATTTGGAGGACGATTTGAACTGTATCTAGCAATAGTTATAGGGCGACGGCTCTCCACGCCATATACCCTTCGGGAGGTCGGCCGCAAGGGCGGCTGCGCCCTTGCCGCCACGGCGTTAAATATAACACACACACACACAAAGCTTGGGAGAGCTTTTTCCAATCATCTTGTATCACAAAGCGAGGTAGCAAGTGGAAGACATGTATCCCATCGAGTGCTGTTGGGCTACAGATACATTCACAGAAGGGATCCTGACCACTCAGGGGCAGCCAAGAGTTTTCTCGACCAATCAATGGCCCTATTTGAAAGGTACTTCGGTTGCCTATTTATTTTGAGTGTGATAAAGGTACCAGCAATCATCAGAGTTACAAATCGCAACCCCACACTGCTTGCATCCTGACCTCGTCTTCTTTCTCCTATCTCCTCGCAAAGTTCCGTGTGACTTCGCCTAATGCTATTCGTTTGTTGTTACAAGACAAGCAAGCAGAGGGCTTCCGTGATACCCTCGTATGTTGTTGCCATGGAATGGAATTCTCTCTTGTATCAGTGGCCCTCTGGGGCCGGGCCCGTTGCCTCCCATGAACTAATGGCCCAAAGAGCTGAATTAGCTGGGTGGAAAGGGTCCTTCGCCATTCGTACTGAGAGTTGGCCCGAGCCCATTCCGGCTCGCCCCAGAGCTGGAGAAAGAAGCTATTAACAAGTATGCCTCGTTCCAGCGAAGGTGGTTCATGTGGGCGTATAGTCGCGCTATCACACTTCTCGGGCGTACAGTCAGCTGTACAGGCGCTTGCGAGGTCTTCAGGAAGTATCGCAACGTTGATACAGGAATTTACAGACCCTTCAGAGTCACTATCGTCGCTCGAGGCCATCGTGACGAATTGGCATGTGTAGATAGGCGATTTTGGTGGTGAAGGGAAGCCAGGGATTCCTAGGGGTAAATGACGTACTGTCATGTATTCCTGATGTGAAGGGTTAAGAGTGGGTAAGAGAGTGGAGCAATGTATCTGTAGCCCAACAGCACTCGATGGGATAGATGGAGCAGTGGATGCCGGGATATCACCACCTGACGTGCAATCGCCGTCTCGGCGTTCGCCTTCACCCTCGCTTCCAAGATACGATTCGCCCCAGGCAATATACGAACGATATTGTGCAGCGAGAAGCGCCTGGTATGCCGCCCAGCCTCGTGGAAGTGTCAAAACAAACCAGGAGTATCGGAGGGCAATAGGTCTTCTACTGCGTTATGGGAAGAAGTCTTATGAGTGGTGTCTTGACTATAAGCAGATGAACAGACGCTGCACCACCTCCAAGGGGTCAAGAGATTGGCTAAAGGAAGAGATAATGGCTTATCTAGACTGGGACAGAGCTGAGCAGGAACGGGTTGATAAGCTTGTTTTCGCTGAGGAGGGAGACAACCCTTTTCGGAGTAGCAGCAGAGGTATGGGCGATATCTGGAATCGAGTCGCGAGAGACAACGCCGAACAGGAGGCGTTGTATGCTGAGAATCTACCCGAAGAGTATATTATGGTTAAATCGTAAATTGAAAGGATAATTGGAACCTAAGTCGCGCCTCCGATTGGCTCAAGACCCGTGCCGCCAGTTTGCTTAGTCATTTTCACGGGTACCCGTGGAATTAGCCTATTGGCAGCCTACACGCAGGCAACAACTCAACGCTTGACATGCGGCTGCCTGGTCGCCTCATCTGATGATATGAGTCAAATTGGACCTCATCAGTTCGGTATTTGATCGAATCTTAGCCTCTCTTGGTTTTTGTGTTCATCCGCATATTATCTCGCCATCAAGTTCTGCACATCTGACCCGACGTCAACCTATCTAGTCTACCTCCTCTCACCACTTTCCTGGGGCAGGCAGGGTCCTCGGACTCCTTCAGTTGCCAACAAGCGATGGATTCCCAAAGCGAAGATGATGCCGTGATTATTGACCGAGATGATGTCAGCAACTACAATCCCGAACAGATCCTGCCCGAATCCTCCGAGGTCATTCAGAAAATCAGAGCCTGGCTGAAACCTACTTCGTATGACTTCGAAAGCAGCGAGTACCGCAAGCACCTAGGTTCTCGCGCCCCAGGTACCGGCGACTGGTTGACGGCTAGTCAATCTTACAAGTACTGGCTGCAGAGCGAAAATACCGGTCTGCTATGGATCAAAGGGATTCCAGGGTCTGGAAAATCGGTATTGGCTTCGAGGATCATCAAGGAACTTTCGGGCAACAACCAAGGGAGTCCAGTGCTTTACTTCTTCTTCCGACAAATAATTGACGCGAACCACGAACCGGCTGCACTTCTAAGAGACTGGCTTGACCAAATCTTGACGTACAGCCTCCCACTTCAGAAGCGGTTGAGAGGGTACGTCGTGAAGGAGGGATACAGCGACAAAACTCGATTGCTTGCTACCATGTCGATGCAAGACCTGTGGGACGACCTTCGACTGGCAATTTCGGGACTGCCCGGTAGAGTCTACTGTGTCGCCGATGCTCTCGACGAAATGGATCGTGGCAACGATGTCTTTCTACAAGCATTAGCCAAGCTTGGTAGCTGGAATCCCTCGAAGGTGAAAGTCCTCATCACGAGTCGTCCGGTTCCTGCCGTTGAGGGCCCTCTGCGACATGCCAAGTGCAACCAGGTTCGTCTTCAAGAGAACGTGGTGGATGCCGACATTTCGACATTTGTGCGAAAAGCATTGAGTTCTTCGAATATCTCCGACCATGATCGAGAGCTCATCCAACAGGTCATTCTAGGTCGGGCTAATGGCCTCTTTCTCTATGCAAAGCTGGCAATGGACTCTTTCCTCGAGCCAGGGGCCGATATCAAGGCGGTTATCGCCCATTTGCCATTCGATATGAACCAAATGTACACCGATTTACTCCACGAACACTCCTGCAGATCCGGAGTTCCTGGCGCCATTCAACGTCTGATCCTGCAATGGATTACCCATGCGACTCGTCCTCTCAGAGTCCTCGAGATAGCTGAGATGATCAACGTCACCTACAATGATGCCGATCAGGACTTGAAGGGAGCCAAAGACCTCGTCAGGGCTGCATGTGGTCCTCTCTTGGAAATCCTGCCGGACGAGACCGTGTGTGTTATTCATCATTCTTTCACAGAGTACCTCAAGGGCACGACCAGGTCATCTGATGATGAAGGTTACCCGGTGCTTCAGTATGGAGAGACAAATGCTAGCCTCGGATCGGCTTGCCTGGCTTATTTGCTCTCCGGAGTCTTTGACGAAACCAAAGAAGCAAGAGACACTCCAATCGTCAAACTGAAGCTGAAGTATCCCTTCTTAGCTTATGCATTGGATAATTGGCATGTCCATGTCACTAGATCGACAGCTGCAGGCCACGACCAGACCAACGTTAACGTGACGCTTGATAAGCTGATGCGTGATCCAGATTCTAAGGATACCTGGGTCAAACTTCAGTGGTTCACCATGGGTTATGCCGACTCTGGCATAACGCCTCTCCACATCGCTGCAATGCATGGGCTCACTGCATACGCAAAACATCTTCTTTCATCTCCCGAGACTACTGTAGATGCGGTGGATGTCCGCGGCAAGACTCCGCTATGGTGGGCTGCTTCGAATGGGATGGCCGACGTTGTTCAGGTCTTCATAGACGCTGGTGCGAATCCCGATCAGGACGAGACTAAGAGTGGTCGCAAGCCCTTGCATGAGGCCGCCTCGAAGAACCATTCAGAGGTTATCAACGTCCTTTTGAGCGCTGGAGTGGACCCCTTGACGAAGAAGACTATGGAGAATGCGGGACGTCGGTGCGGAAACGCATCACGTTCGAAGGGACATACTCCTCTGATGGTCAGTGATCACGTCTTTACAAGCTGTATGTTTGCATAACCTAAAATATCATTCTTCCGCTAACGTTGTATACAGTATGCTTGTAAAAATGGGCACATCGAGGCCCTGGAGGCATTTCTGCCTTTTCTCAAGGATGAAGAATCGGTTCACCAGGCTCTTGCATGGTCTGCTGGAGCAGGCCGACATGATTTGGTACAGCGGGTCCTCCAACACCCTGGGGTTGATATCAACCATAAGGTTTGCGGCGGTACGCCTCTGTTCATGGCAAGCCGGAGCACACGCATCAAGATTATGGAGCTTCTCCTAAATGAAGGGGCCGATCCAACAATACGTTGCGAATTTTATGACGAGTTTGCTGGGATGGGCGCCAGGAGAATGTTGTTGCCTCACGGAGAAAACGATCAACCCCGGATTGTTGGAATTACACCTTTATACGCCGCTCTCGAGCAGTCAAATAGAGGCAGTGCTCCACAAGCTGAGCCGGATAAGCTCAAGAGTCTTCTGGACTTATTCGTCGAAAAGGGAGCCGACATTCACGATAGGTCTCCTTCCGGTAATTCTCTGCTGCACGTAACCAGCGGCAATCCCGTGTGGCTGAGAATTCTGCTCGATGCAGGTGTCGATGTCAATGTCGCCAATAACGATGGCTGCACTGCCCTTCATGGGACTATGTCAGTTGAGTCTCTGTCTCTACTTGTAGAAGCTGGTAAGGCCGAAATCAACAGGAGGGCAACTTTAAATGGGAAAACACCGCTTCTCCTCTCCCTTGGTGGCTACGACACCGGCGTGACCCTCAAGCTCATCGAGTACGGCGCCGATTGCACCATCGTTGATAAGGACGGCAATGGGCCTTTACACATTTCCTTGCAATCCTACAACTCAAAACCTCAAATCATAGAAGCGCTCTTACGAGCTGGCGCAGACCTGAATGTGAGGAACAAATCCGGACAAACGCCCCTGGACATCATGTTCTCGCGGAACTCAGGTGTTTTCGATTTGATGAACATCATGATCCAAGCAGGCGTAGATATCAATGCAAGAGACAAGAATGGCGCGACACTCCTCTTTCGGACCATCTCAGGACAAGCTTCCAGATCGAAAAAGAACTTTCATGATACGATCATGAAGCTCCTGAAAGGGGGTGCCATGTTAAAAGCTCGAGATTTTAAAGGGAGGACCCTTCTACATGAGGTGGTCAAGACACAGCAAGGCCATGCCTCTTTTGTTCGACCGGAGTTAGGTCCTTCTACCTTTGATTTCCTTGTGGGTCTAGGTCTGGATGTTCATGAAACAGACTATCAGGGCAACACCTTACTCCACGAATTATGTTGGCGATTCAACACCGAATATAGAACAAAGGACATGCTAGAAATGTTGAAGATGTTCCTCGACTTGGGGCTTGACGTCAATCAACCTAATCATCGTGGTCGAACACCGCTTCATTGGCTTTGTACCAAGGCCGAGGGTAGTCATGTGGACCAGGTTGAGACCTACTTGGACCTGGTCATTTCTCGTACGAAAGATATCAATGTTCGCGACAAGGAAGGAATAGCCTCGTTACATCTAGCCGCAACTGTTTCAGAGTATCTCACCAAGAAACTGCTTGACGCAGGTGCGGACCCTACGATCGAGACACACGAAGGGTTGACGCCGCTTCATCTCGCCGCCAGATGTCGGCAGGCTAACATAGTTGGCATGATTCTTGACGCTCTTCATAGGCGGGATTTGGGCTAGTCATTTGGCGGTTCGGAAAACAGAGGAGCCTGGCTGAAAGAGCCAAATACTAGCCCAATCACTGGAGTCAACGCTACAGCCAACAAATCCATCCGCGGATGTGACTGCACACCACTGTATTATGCTGCTCTCTCAGGGAGGCCAGAGGTTGTCTCGATGTTGCTTGAAGCTGGAGCAAATACGAAGGCGGTGAAGTTACGGCCTGCAATCACTGAGTTCGAAGATGAGCTCGAGCTATGGCGTAGGAGATTACCCCACGACAATGAGAATGGGGCATGTGGAGGTCTTACGATGGAAGACGTCTCACGCCCGTACCTGAGTAGTCGGCGTAATGGCAGAGACACACTCGATCCACTCGAAGACACGGCAAGACTCGAAGAGATCATAGAGATGATCCTTGAACGCGGTGCCGATCTGACCAAGCAAAATCTCTGGGGCACGAACGACACACAATTCGGTTCTCTGACTGACACGACTTCTGACTGCCGAGAGTATGCGCTGAAGTGCTTATCAGATGCTATCAAGAAGCGGCCATTGAAGAGCTCCAAGGCAACAACACAGAGTGCACAGAGATTACCCACATTTGACGAGAAGCTCCTCTCTCACCGACGTGACGCCATATATAAGGCAATCCGTGAGCCTGGCGTCGTTGTACCAGGCAAACCTAACGAGACTTTGTTCATCACGCGACTTAGACGTCGCGAGTACGATGTGATTGAAGAGTTGTTCAATCTGAGCGTGGACTTCCTGGCCCCTCACCAGAATGGGCTTACTAACTTGGGTGCCCTCGTCAGAGGAGGTTTTACTTCTCTTGTCAACCGCATTGGCTTGCTCGTGGCTCAAGCAAAGGTGGAAAAGGGCATTTGGGTTGCATCGGGCGATGAGAAACTGCCTGGATTCGGCCACAACAAAACATGGACTCACGATGTGTCAGACTACATCAGCAACGAATACTGCCAGGCATTTTTGTTACAAGCAGTCCACCAAGAGGCTCCCATTTTCGGTATGGTCCGGCTTCTTGTAGAGAACTTCGGCGTTGACATCGATGAGCTGTGCGGAAAGTCCAAGAAGGCTGGCGAGACTGGCATGGCGAAAGATAGTGCCCTGCACTCGCTTGCCAAAGGCTACCACTGGTGGCACGTCGCTCAGGCTCTAACGTACTTGATCAGTAAGGGTGCAGATCTGGAAATTAGAAACTTCAGAGGGCAGACGCCGCTCCATATGGCCTTGGGCACAGAAGATGGCATCGGACTGTTCCATAAAGACGCCGCTCACCATTTGATCTTGAGTGGAGCAGACGTTAATGCCGTGGACAAGGCGGGACGAAGCTGTCTTTCTTATGCAGGACACGACGTTGATCTGACTCATTGTTTGGTCAAGCACGGCGCGATAGTTCACGCTGATGCAATCTTTGGTGCTATTAACGAGATGCAGCCCGGAGTGCTTGATGCTCTCTTGTCTGCCGGTGGTGATGCCAACATTCGGCTTGAGAAGAACGACAAAGTACCCTGGAAACCCCAGAATCGTCAATGGGACCTGAGTGGTCTCCCAGACGCCGAGTGGTACCCCTTACATCGCGCTGCGGCGAAAACTTGCAGAAACGCTTACGCACATGACCAGAAGGAAAGAACAAAGGTTCACTCAAGCGCCCTCAGCTTGATCGAGATCCTCTTGTCTCATGGAGCCGACCCGCTGGCTACTTTTGTGAGATGCTCTGGGAAAGACTGCTACCACCAAAAGATTTACTCTCGGCGGCAAGAGGAAAGCTTTTACACAACAAGTCGCTCTGGCGAGCTGCCCGATGGGTACGACACTACACGAGACCCAGAATACTCCGTTGAGCCGCAATTACATGAGGAATGTGTCGTCCTGCACCAGCTCATAGGTGGCGGACACATTGTGCATCCCTTCTTGAAGCTGCCGGGGATCGACGCCAATCATCGAGACAGCAGTGGTCGAACTCTTCTCCATGCTGCTTGCTCCTCTAAACGGGGTCCCGATGTACCCTTGAGCCTACTGCCAGGAGATCCATGGGATCCCAAGACATCGAAGGAGGTATCGCTCTTCCACCATCTCGTCTCCCTCGGCGCGAATGTGGAAACACGAGACAACAAGAGGCAGAACGTACTTCATCACATGCTCAGACCTCCTTCGAAGCGCTTCCTTCAACCGCCGATTATCGAAACATCACTTGCACATGTGATGGAGAAACATCCATCGATTATCGACCAGAAAGACGAGGATGGGAAGACGCCGCTGTACCTGGCCGTCCACCGCGCTCTCTACGAGAAGAGTACGACCGCAGCCGAGGCACTTCTCAGAGCCGGAGCGGACCCCCTCATCGCAGACAACGAAGGCAACACTGTCCTACACGTTCTCTCTCGCATGCTCTGGATTTCCGCCATGCGGCCCCTATTCAATACGCTCATCGAGCGCGGGTGTAATGTCAACGCTCGCAATTCGAAGGGGGAGACGCCGTTGTTCTGGTACTACGCGGGGTTCAGGGCCGACCATCATGACATCTACACGCAAAATCGTGACCCGGAGACGTACGACGAAGAGGGAGGGATCGCAGCATTCGAGGCGGCGGGCGCGGATTTCGGGGCGCTGGATAATGACGGACAGAGCTTGTTGCACGTTGCGGCGGAAGGTCACGTTCTTCGGTTCAAGACTTTGACGGCGAAGGGGCTGGATCCCATGTTGGAGGATAATAGTAGGAAAACTGCGGTCGACGTCGCGGCTGCGTGTGGTAACAAGGGGGTTTTGAAGCTTTTCAGGCGGGTTGATGCTGTGGATGATTCGGATGACGACGACGACGATGAGTCGCTTGATCTGAACGATGTTTTCTGGTCTTGTTAGTTATTTTGTCAGAGATGTAATCGCTTTAGTGTTCAAGAATATGTGTCTGGTGATGGATTTCCGCGGCTTCCGCGGTATGAACTTGCGAGAGTTGGGTGAGAGACGGCCGTGGTTGACGCGATGTGTAGAAGACAACTGTGCCCCGCCTGGCCGAGCTTAGAAGTCGCAATCTCCCCTCTATTCCCATACCAAGGCCGAGTATAGCGCCGCTGTACTCTGGACGTTGGTATGCATTCTACAATCCCCAAGCTAACCTACGCAAACGTGATGCGTTCAACAACAAAAGGCGGCTGCAGCTGCCTCACATGGAACTTGGCGTGACGCGGGGCAGGACTCTTTGAGCATGGGTGGGGTCTTGGCAGGCTCAGCTTTGCAAGCTCAGTTCCTTCTCACCGAGTCACCGACTCACACCTTGATCAAATGCTGTCTCTTCTGATCCGGCGATGGGCTCAGGAGAGAACGCGTATTAGGAGGTTTTCGATGAGCTTAGCTTGGCCCGGGGAGTGTCGGTGCACTAGCAGAACTCAGCTCGGGGAGTGTCGGACAACCTGTCGCGTCGAACAGACTTCTCGATCCCGGAATTGCATGTTGATGGAGGCGGGCACCGCGTCAAGTGGGATGCCGAAGCTAAGAGCCGCCGCCGGATTGTCACCCATTCCGGTGGCTGAAAGGGGAGTTTTGTCCAATTAACCGGGTATTTTGGGATGCCGTTGTGGGGTTGACAGGGATGAGGCTGGAGATGGACTTTTGGGGAGCGGAGATCCTTGTCAATAGGGGCTGTGAGCGAGATTCAAGCTTGCTTTATGGAATGCCATAAGGAGAGAGTCAAGTGACTAGTGGATGGAGAGAGAACTCTCCGTGTAGGGAGACGTTGACTTAGAACGTCGTTGCAACAGTTCCTAAGCGTTGTTGAGCTGGATTACTTGGTAAATTGAAAAAACTCCGTACCAAGGTATGCTGTGATCTCAGGATCCGTTCTCTGGGTCGAGGAACGGATCCGTAGATGTGGAAACTTTCCGTGGACAACCACCCCGGCCATGTTGAACATCCCCGGCAAGCACTTCCAAATGGGCCTGGTATCTTACGTTGGTAAACTTCAATAAATTTCAATTGGCACTAAGCTTCTTCCTACGCCTGACTTTCCACTACTCCGTACGGAGTACAGAGTACATGTAGACCCATATGAATCTAGACCTATGCATGTGCACCCATCTCCACAATCTTACTCTTGTGCGTGACCTCCACATGGGAAGCCTCCGCCTCCTTCAGCGCGCTCGAGGCATTACCCGTGCCCACCTCCGCAGACTCGCCGTCAAAGATGTACGCCATATTCTCGAGCGTCCGGCCTCTCGTCTCGGGGTAGCAGAACCAGACACTGATGAGCATGATGACGAGGACAGCGAGGAAGACAAAGTAGTACTTCCATTCGATGGCCTCAAGGGCGATGGGGTTGACGAAAGTGTTGAAGAAGACACAGCCGATGCTCACCATGAGGGCTACCGTGAGGCCCTTGGCACGCAGGCGGTAGGGCCAGATCTCGACGGGGTAGGAGACCATTAGTGGGGTCAGGGCGATATCGTAGCCGAGGTAGAAGCTGTGGAAATGTTTAGTTTGTTGTGTTGGGCTTTGGTTGGTGAGGGTCTTACATGAAGAGGAAGGGAATCACTGCTGTGCCGGTTGGGGCGTTGCCGGTGTTGGCGAAGCTGCCGGAGAGGCCGGTGACAATGGAGAAGGAGATCAACATGATGGTGCCCTATCTTTGTGTTAGCGATAATCTTTGGTCCGCGATCCAAGAATTGAGCATTTACCGAAGCCAAGAATAATCCTCGTCGGCCGGCCCTATCGACCATGATAGCGGCGGTGGATGCGCATATGAGGTTCCAGATTTGGATACATGCGGAGATGAGAGTTTGGTCGTCGACAGACGTAATACCGACAGAGGACTAGGATGCCACATGTCAGAACTTGGGTCCAGTGAGTTAGGGGTGTCTTGACGGGTTCACTTACAAGTACCATGGCCAGATAGTAACTGACGACACCAACACCGCACTAGAGTCACATTAGTATCGTGTCTTTTTTGCTAAGGCATTTTCAAAGTACTCACCCATTGTGCAAAGACACCCAAGCTGACGGAGATGAAGAGACGGTGTCGGTTTCCAGGAGTGGACCACAGATCCGACCATTTTGTCTCCGAGTGTGCCTCCTTCTCGGCCCGGATAGTGTCTTCGATTTCCATCATCTCAAAGTTGACGAGAGGTGAGTGGATATCGCCGCCAGCATGGTTCCGAGCAATGATGGCTCTCGCTTCGTCGGTTCGGTCTACCGATACAAGCCACCGAGGAGACTCTCCGATGAGGAGCAGACCGGGGATCGAGAGCAAGGGGAGAGTGACCTGCAACAGAGAGGGCAGTCTCCACGCCCAGTGGTCGAGGTTTCTGGTGCCGTACGTCGCCCAGGCGGCCACAACCGCACCAAAGTACCAGCCGCAATTGTACAGAGCAGAGACCAACCCGCGGTGCGTAGGGTAGGCATTTTCCGAGATCAACAAAGGTGCCGAGAGGAAGAATCCCGAGGCACAGCCGATGATGAAGCGGGCGCAGACAAAGGCGACGTCGTTGGGTGCTGCGGTCTGCAGGACGGACCCGGCGGCTAGACTGACCCAGGAGACGTAGATGCCCATCTTGCGGCCGTACTTGTTGCAGACCCACGCGGCGACGGGGTACACGAGAACGTTGCCGAGAGAGTAGGCGGCGTTGACGAAGCCTAGCCAGGCACCGGTCGGTTGCTCCATGAAGGCGTGCCACTGGGGCAGCGCGAGCAGGCCGTTCATCATGGAACCATCGTATCCGTTCGCGGAGGCACACATGATGAGGGAGGCGATGCAGAGGTTGAGGCGGAGGATGTGAGGTTGCTTGTACCAGGGGCCAATGTCTGGTAGTACAGCCGCCAGTTCAGCACCGACGGCTTTGGCGTTTGCTTCTTTTGCGTGGCCCATTCTGGAGGATGTGAAGTTTGATGGATGGTCGAGATGGTGATGTCCCAAGCAGAGGTTCTACCAAGTGGCCGGGACATGCCGTTGCTATATATCGTTTTGTCTGGGATCCATAGCGTGCCATGGGGTTGCGTTTCTTCCTTGGCGTTCAGAGTAACAGATATTGCTCGGCTCGGTCTTTGATGGCCGGTGAATGGCAGCATCCGCGTGAACTTCGGGAGAAATCAAAAATGGCTCGATGGCTGATGCTAGCCTGCTAGGTCGTCCGGTGTTTGGTGTGCCCAGTGCCCATGTCACCTACTTGCGGAGAGAAAACCCCGCATAACTCCCTGCTGCTTCAAGCGCGGCAGTGTGCCAATGACGTTGATGATCAGGCCTGGACACGAGTTGAAAAGACTCAAGATGTTGCGAGAAACTCCGCTTCTCACACCACGCTGCCCATGGAGCCCCCAGGTTTCCAGGTTTGATATGTGTGGATTCGTGGGGATATAACGCGGGTTGGAACACCTGGTCTCTCCCACACTAGCGGTTCATTGACTCTGCCAAAATGGGGCCAGTGCTGCGGTCGGCAGGCAGTCGGGCAGGCGGGTATTAGGGAGGGCGCCAAGGGGGAGGCGGCGGCTCGCACTTCCCTCTCTTCCTCTCCAAGCAAATGACTCGTGAGTCTCGGTGAGACTATGCGGCTTTGCGCAGGCGTGCGGATTGGCGGACCGTTCCTCCCTCGCATTAGAATTGAACATACAGGCTCATCGATGTCATCGTAAATATGAGGCAAGCTTGTAAGTTTCATTCATGGCGTTTCGGCCGTCATTCAAGCTGTTGCTCGTGCAACTTTCAAGGTGTCGCTGCCGGTTACTGCCGTACGATACCGCTTTCCACAAGCCGATTACCCGTCTTGTACGGTATCCCATCGGGTGCGAGTTGACGTCAGTACAAGAGTACGTATTTTCATGAGGGGAAATAGCGAATTATATGATAATCCGATCCTATTTCCCTTATACCCACGAACCAAAAATTCAAATCAGATTTTCAGTTGGAGAAAAACTGGAGATGTTCGTACTGACGTTAACTCGCACCCGATGGGATATAGATATGACCCTCATACGGATCTTCCACTTAGAGGAATCAAGCCACTTTCTACTATATGCTTGGGGCCCGTAATGAAATTCTAATGATTTCAAACCCACTTAGCTCTCGCCTAGTGCTTAACTTCGGAATTCGGGGGTTCTCCGATTGCAACCTGGGCTCGATGCGCTGGCGAGGCTCTAGTAACAACTGCGGCGCTCCTTCACGCCTCAGGTGCCAATGCGCATGAAAGTGCTCACGTAGCAGAACAAGATTTTGGTCCTGTAAAGCCTTTAATTTGTGTAGACATGGTAGACCGTATACATAAGAGAAGGCCCCCGTACAGACTGAGGAATGGTCTGTGCCATTCTTACTGAGCAGCTTCCGCTGCTCTTCTACTTTCCGGAGGGCTTCATGCGATACCCAGCCAAGTACTGCGCTATATATTGTTCCCGAAAGCTCGACCGGTATTCGTGTCTGTTGTTTGGCTTGATTAGATCTCAGATCCGAGAGCTGATTAAGTAACGCGTACTTCATCGCTCGCCAAGCCTCGAACAGATCCAACGTAGATCTCTTTAGGTGCGATTTGAGCAGAGCATGGATGCCCTTAACCCGCGAGGTAGCCACGTTACCAAAGTGCGTATGCTAATCAACCCAGGCTTTCACTATCTTCTCCTTATACGGATAGAGCCAAAAGGACGTAACGTAGCCGACTTCTTCAAGATAGTCCGTAAGATAGCGTTCTTCGAAGTGAGAAACACGTTCCCGAAAGGTCATCTCAGACGGCGAGCTAACAATCAAATGCCAGGACTTGTAGAACTCTTCCCAGTTGTCAGTCGATGACTTTGGCGCTGCAGGGCTACTGGTTGTCTTCGTCTTGGCAAGGTCGAACGCAGAGTAGCAATGCTGAAGCACCGCCTTGTTTGCATGCTAGAGGCAAAGCAAAGATGCCGAATATGGAAAGATAGCGGCTACAGCATTAATGCATGCTAAGCAGCGATCTATAAGGACAACCGCAGGTAAGCTAGCATTACACTAGTCATACAAGGACCTGACCCGCTCCAAAGCCCAGGTATAATCTTCTTCCGTTTCGCCACTAAGAAATACGAACGCGATACAGAAGGAACGCTAGCAAGCATCGACAGCAACTATATCAAGAAGCGGCATACCGTACTTATTGGTCTTGTAAGTGCAGTCCAGCAACATTACGTCTAGGTAAGCTTATAGGAGGGCCAAGGAATCTAGATAGGCAAACAAGACAGCTGTAACGCGGCCATCTGGTGCGAATTGCATTCGACTCCAGAAGCCTTCCTCGTCAAGCTGATTGGCAAGTGCGTGGATTGAGGTCTGCCCTCCACGAACATCTCGTTTGATGGCTGCAATATGATTGTAGATATCCTGTTGGGTTGCTACAGAGTTTGTGGTTTGTCGTATGTATGTCCGGATATCCCTGGGCGCGACGCCAGCATTTGATAGGCCGGTGTCGGATTGGAAGTCCAATTCGGCCGCGAGTAGGGGAAGAGCATGGGCCACCTCGAGGGGGTACACTTAGACCTCGACTACCCACCCAACCTCCGGTTGGAATCTCCCTTCTACTCCTCACGCAGAATCAATCAATACAGAGATATTGATACTTCGTCACCCCCAGGACCCTACGGTTCGAACCAAATTCCCTGTGAGAGGAATACCAACACTGATCAGTGGTTAAATTCCACTATCGCAGATCAGCAAGGCATCCCACGAAAGCAGAAGAGGCGACCCTCTAATACCGAACGGGATAGAGGAATCGTGCTCCCTTGACCTCTCGAATCTCACGAGAGGAGGCGTCCATCACGTCAGCAACGCCTTTGACGGTCGACCGGCCAGACGCCTCGAGCGCCCGACGACCGACGAAGGACCCTTTACTTATACCGACTTCATCGCGGGAAGACCGCGAATTTAAGTCTGTCAAGTACACCAACCGCGACCAGACCGCGCGACAATTATATCTATTTTCCGCAGCCTGCGACTTACGCCCGCGAGACAATATACCGACTATACCTTCCAACGCGTGAAGTACGAGCCCTTCGACCAAAGCACAAAAGGGCACCACGCGACCAAGGAAGAAGACCAAGATGGCGGCTGAGCCCGAGGAACCCACGGCAACGAGGCTAGGAGTAACGACGAGATCTAGCGCCCGTCAGCAAGGAGAGGCGGGATCGAGCCAGACCCCGTCTAATCAGGCCAGCGACGACAGTCTGCTGCTGCCACGCCCGATAAGCGGCTCGACCCCCAGTCCACCAAGATCAAACACACCGACTGTCTCTGATACGAGCACTAGCCAGGGTACGGTTATAAGCGAGTCAACCAGAATGGCGATGACTAGGGTACCCATACCTCTCAAGTGGCTAGACATCAACAATTCATACTGGGGAAAGTGGACCTTCAGACCATCGGATACACCAGATAACGAGCGGGTCGACGCTGCCCTCGTTTTCTTAATGGAAATCTACGCTAAGCAAGGACTCGAGGGGCAACCCCTGTTTTACCAGATTACCGATGATATCGGCCACTGGCCAGGCAAATGGTTTGCAAGCGCCAACGACGGTATCGTCAGAGAAGTCGTCAGATTCCTTCATGGCCGAGGCATATTACCAGATTCGTCAGCTACGAGAGAACCTCACGAGACCCTCGCAGCCACACTGTCGGCATCAGAATTTACGCCTTGGAACCAACAGCAAGTCGACCGCGCAATATACCGGCTTAGCGAGTTCAGGCAGCGCATTACCAAGCCAGAATTTCTCTTGATGATCACCAATGGCGCAATCGGCCCCTATATGAGACAAGCCAACAGCGGCCCACCTCCAGAAGTACGTCAAGCAACGGTTCCTCCAATTGCAATTACAAGCACAAGGTTACCGTCGACATCGCAACCCATGGGCCAAAACGGTGATATGCGAATAGAACCACATTCAACTACACAGAGCCAACGATTCAACTCGACACCACGCGAATCACGCGAGGAGCAGGATCCAATCATCGCTAACCCACGGCAATTAACGGACCTCACGAAGATATTCCCAAAAGAGAAGAAGTATGCAGGGGGGAAGTACGAGGTCCTACAAGAGACCCTGACCATGTTCTACGACTACTGCGAGAAGGCAGGAATCAAGGAACACCAATACCACTCAGCTATCACGATTGTACTCACGGGTAAGGCAGAGGAATATTACTACCTCGCGGTGCGTACACTCGACAAATCAGACTTCCTCAGCGTTGTTGACGCAATCCGAAGCCGCTTCGAGACACACGATAGGAGCCTCGAGCTCCTCGCCGAGCTAAGGGCACTTTCATATGGATCTATCGCTCGCGGAATGGAGGGCAAGCCACGCGTTGAGATTCTCGAGGAGCTTATCGACAAGATCGACAAGTTGGCCAAGACCCAGCCAACGGAGGGAACCAACGAGAGAAAAGTCGGATATCTCTGTACAGCGGTCCAGCGAGTCCCCGAGGCAAGGATGACTTTGCACGCACCGCCAACCGACTACGAGACCCTCTGCTCACGGCTGAGGTCGAGTTTCAACATCGAGGCCAGGATGCCCAGACAACAGCAATTCCGAGCAGTTGACGCACCATATCAACAACACTGGGTCGACCGTACATACAACGGCAAGGGAAAGGAAGCCAGATACGGCAACCGATCCAATGAGCAAGAGACACGAGGAGGATCAACAGCAGCCACAAGATTCAGGCCACGCGGAAATCAGCCTCGCGGAAAGTGCTGGGTCTGCAAGAAAGACGGCTGTTGGTCGACAAGCCATACCCAAGAGGAAAGGGATAAGTCGTACGAAAAATACAAGCAGACGAAAGGCACTGAGGGCAAGTCGAGCCCGGGCCAATTCCAGCAATTCCTCATCGACTACGAGGGAAAGGGCCCTTCCACACAAGGGGATCCTGATCACGAATCTGACATCGATGAGGACATCACTCCCTTCCTTAACAGAATCGACGATATCGTCGATAACGATTTCGACGACGTCGACGAGGTCCAACACGTCTTCTTCGCTCCCTCATCGTCAGGAGGATATTCCACTCTGAATGACAGGCAAGCAGTCAATACCCTCAACGAGGAGGCATTCTTCCATGGTTGTCAAGGCAGATTCGTACGA